CTGCCCGGCCTCACGCGACTCCTCTCCCGGATACACGGAGGTCACGGCTGGGCTAGGCGGCGTTGAAAGCCCTTTCTGGTCTCATTCTTGGAGCAAAGCTTCCTCAGACTCTTGGGGAGCAGAGCTGAGTGGCGATTCACGCTTGCTCTTCCCATTCCCTGCCCTAGCTCATGCCTCGTTGGTCAACAGGAGAGCGAATGCGAGGCAGTGGGGAGGGGCTGGGGAGCTGGGAGCAGGGAGTGACCTCCCCGGTGGCTTCCCTGCTTCCTTCTTTCTAGAGAAAAACAGGCTGGCCTGGACCTCCTAGCCCTGCACGTGTCTCAGCTCAGGGCTCAAGGACGCGCCTAGGCATACAGTTGTATGACCAGAGGAGCTATGCAGGCAGCCATGTGGCCCCCAGAGGGAGGGTGCCGGGGGCCTGCAGCTGCAATAGGGGGGCATGGCTCAGGGCTGCAGCTGAGGGAGCGGGGCCAGGGGCTGGGACCAGCCTCACTCTCACCAGGTTTCTTGGGAAATCAAGTGCACGTAAGAGAAGGCTGGGGGCGCGCAAGCTGGCTTTGACCGCAGTGCGCATGAGGTTAGGGGACGCTGCAGAGGGCACTTGCGTGGCTGGTAGGGAGAGGAGCGGGCTCAGACGAACCAGATCAGCCCAAACTCCCTCGACCCAGAGAGCCTCTGAGTCTGGCTATTCTGTCCCTTATGCCTTTCCCTGCCCTGTTCAAGGGGGCTCCCTGGACTAGGAAGCTCTGGGGAGAAGGGAAGTGGCCATCGTGATCAGAGAGTTGGCAAGGAAAACCCAGGAGGGCGAATAGAAAAATAAGAGAGAAGGGAGCAGCCGGGAGGGGGCAGGGCCACCAGAAAATTCCCTCTCATCTGCAGGTGCGGAGGACTTTTCTCACTTGGAGCTCTTTCTGATACTGTATGCTCAAGGAAGATGACCCTCTTACAACCCGCCTTGGGTTGAGTCCGGGATTCTGAGTTCAGAGGCTGTGAGGGATAGGACTTCTGCAGAGATTGCACCAGACTCTACAGAGGGCCTGGGAGGGGAAGAAGGCCTAGGTGGGTGCCTGGAGGCCAAAGCTGGTTCAGTATCTAGGGCCCTTGGCAGGTAATGGCTTGGGTCAGACAAGGATTTGTGCAGGCTACATTATCAGGTGCCTATGTCATTTTTAAAGGTTGTTCCGGGAAGACACAACACGGATGAGTTGAGTGGGTGGGGCCAAGAGAGAGACATTTATAGAGAAGAAAAGCAGGTCCAGAACATACCCGGATGGCAACAGGAATGGCATTCCCTAGGAGTGTGCAGTGCACAATATATGCCACCGAGCACAGCGGCCTTGAAAGGCTTCAGTGTGCAGAAGAGAGCATGGGGCTCTAAGCTGAGCTGGAGCAGTCTTAACCTGTAAGCAGTGGGCAAACGAGTTCACCTCTCTGAGCCCCAGCTTTCTCATCTGTAAACAGGAGTGGTGATTATTTCACGTTGGGCACATCTGTGAATTCACTCCGATGGTACCTGGCACCTGATAGAAGCTCAGTGCATGTCTGTCCCCTTCCATCCCCTGTGTCGTGAGGTTGAATGTGGAAACGGGAAGTGAATCAACTCGTAGCCTGGAGAAGACAGGCTGGGGTAGCTGGCGAGAGCAGATGGAAATCTGTAATGTGTCTGTCACGCGGGAAGTACTGTGACAGCCCTTCTCTGACTTCCCCAAATGGAGCAAGACCTTGGGCTGGTTCCTCCTGAGACTGAACGTCTTGGCCCATGTTCAGATTAGCCAGATGTTTGTGTGTTTTCTTTCCTCCTTTGGCGTCTCCATTCCTTCTCATCTCCTGATTCACTCCATTCACTCTCCACACACTGCATCGAGTACATCTTGTGTCCCGGAGGTCCTGTGCTGAGTCCCGTGGGATGCGGCTTGCCCACAGCCGGGGGAGGGGGCAGGCGTCCTGGCTCTGAGTGTGAAGCCCAGCTCCATCACTGCCCACCGTGTGACCGGACTTCACTTCCGCATCTGTGACATGGAATGGCCTGGCGCCTCTCTTTCGGAACTTTTAGAGGATTACATGCAAGAATGGACGTCACGTGCTTAGCACCGTGCCTGACGCACAGCCAGTGCTGAATGCGTGTTGATATTGTTCATGTTAAAAACCATGGGTGTGTTATTACACAAAGCAGGCTGTAGGTGGGGGGAGGCCCCGAGGGGGCAGAGAGTGCCGGCAGAGCGGGATCAGGGAGGTGCTGGGGAGGACACTCAGCTCGGGGGTCATGAACAGCAGGACGGCCCCAGTGTTCTCGGGAGGAAGGAGGGCGAGGAGGAAGGGCGCTCTGAGCAAAGGTGCAGAGCCGAGACCACGCTCCTGCAGGTCGTCTTTGTTTTCGAATGCCGGCTCCCAAGACTTCCAGAGGCACAGCGAGCCTTGGAGTCTGCTTGGAGGAAGGGGTAGCAGGCCGGGAGCCCGCAAGGCAGCCACAGGGGCTCCTCACCACAGCCACACGGCTGCCAGGGAGCCAGCTTCTTCTCAGGAGATGGCCAGGTGCCGTGCGCGCGCATGTGCGCGCGCGCGTGAGAGAGAGCGAGAGCGAGTGAGCCACATGGGCCATGCAGGGCCACCTTGTTTCAGAGTCCTCGTGCTCCACAAGATCCTTGTGGCCACTGGGAGTCCAGGGCTTCTGCAAGGGCGACGCACACGGCAAGGCCCCCATCAGATGCTTAGTCCCGATTCACTCTGCTTTCCAGTTAACACGTCGTCTACTAAGCAGGGGTCGCGTTTAGCAGCCTGTGGGTAGGTTTCCAGGAGAATAGGGGTGGAGCGTGTTAGCCAAGGTCAGGTTCCCTGCCCTACTTTCTGCTCGTGGTGGGAGCGTTCCAGGGAACGTTCAGAGCATGGTGTCTCACGCAGGCTGGGGGCATTTGGGAGTGGGAGGAAGTTGTAGCAGGCAAAGAGAGTGCCCAGAACTTCCAAATGGCCCACCAAGCCCACCACTGGGTGTACACCCAAAAGATGGGAGATCATTGCATCCAAGAGATTCCCACTCCACCAGGGTTCTGCAGCCCTGTTCACCATAGCCAGGAGAAAGAATCAACTAAGGAGTCGGTCGTGGGATGAATGTGTAAAGAGAGCGTGCGATAGATAGGCAATGGAATGCTGGTCAGCCACACAAAGAATGGAGTCCTGTCCTTCTCAGCAAAATGGACAGAGCTAGAGGACATCCTGCGCAGTGACGCACGTCAGACGCAGGACAAGTGCACCTGTCTCTCTCATGCGTGGGAGCCTCACAACCGCTCCACACGAGCCCAGGATATCGACCACCAGGGGCTGGGCAGGGAGGGAAGGACGGAGGGAGCTGCATTTAAGACGCAGGAGATGCAGGAGAAGCGTGGTTCTAGACTGTGACCAAGGCGCTCACAGGAGACGCTGCCAACCGGGGGCGCAAAGCCTGGGGTCCATGGGAACTCTGCACAACCCCACAGCTTTTGTGTTAAAATATAGAACCCTTCTGGAACAAAAAGTTAAAAATCAAACCACCGGGCTGGGTTCTGTCGGGCTGCAGAGATTGTGGCGTGGCGTCACCTTCCCGGGTTCACATCCCAGCTCCTCTCCTGCGCTGTGTGGTCCTTAGCAGGTAACCTCCCTCCCCCTCCCTAGAACAGGACCTCAGGAAGTTTCATGAGGATTCAAGGAGGCAAGGATGGGAGGGGCTTGGCACAAGCACTTCCTGCACAGGAGCCTCCCCGGCACCTGCTCACAGACTGCGGAGCTCAGCCCTGCTCCAGGCTCCTGGGCTGGAACGCTCAGTGTTAATGACATTGAGTGGCAGTTAAATGCACTAGAGGGGAAGGAGGACGAGGCTTGGCAAATGCAAGCAGGCTGCCCACGTGAAAGTGGTGATTGGAGAGCTCCATTTCTGTAACACACCTCTGGGTGATTGCAGCAGGAACCCTGCCTCCCACACCCGGCCCTCCAGGCACTCTCCCCACCCTCGTCTCAGGTGACTCCCCCCACAGGGCAGCTCCTTGAAGGCACCAGGCTCTGTCTCACCTCAGGGCATTGGCACTTGCTATTTCCTCCACCCAGAATGCTCTTCCTTTGCATTTCATGTGGCCAGATCTTCAACCTTCTCAGAGTTTCACCGCCAATGTCCCCTCCAACAGGAAGCCTTCCTGGATGACCCTATCCAAGCAGGTGCCCTTCCTGTGGCCTTCCTGTGGCCCTGTGTTTAGTTCCTGCTCAGCACTCACCCGTGTCTGTGGTTGTCATACTCAGCTTGCTTGTTTACTATCTGTCTTCACCATAAAATGAAAGGTTAACCCTGTGCCAGTCTCATTCCCCTTTGAGGTGATTTTTCTGTTGCATAACAAAGATTGACTTTATAACGGGGCAAGTGCTGTGGTGTTTTGGATTAAGCTGCCGGCCTGCAAGGCTGGCATCCCATATGGGTGCTGGTTCAAGTCCTGGCTGCTCCACTTCCAATCCAGCTCCCTGCTAATGTGCCTGGGATAGCAGCAGAAGATGGCCCAAGTCCTTGGACCCCTGCATCCATGTAGGAGAGCTGGCAGAAGCTCCTGGCTCCTGGCTTCAGCCTGGCCCAGCCCCAGTCATTGTGGTCATTTGGGGAGAAAACCAGCGGATGGAAGAACTCTCTCTTTCTTTCTCTCATTTTCCCTCTCTCTCTGTAACTCTGCCTTTCAAATAAATAAAATAAATCTTAAAAAAAGAAAAAAAGCTTTCACAACAAGAAGGAAGCTCTGCCTGGCTGCAGCACAGGTAGAGGGCTGGCGGCAGGTGCCAGGCGGAAGGCAGATTGGCCACTTAGGGGTTGTTGAGCTAACCCAGGCCTGAGAGGAGGGTGGCTTGGACTTAGCACAGTGGCATGTGGGAGGCACTGCCCCGGGGTGTTTAGGAGAGGAGGGTGCAGGTGGAGGGAGGGAAGCCCAGGGGCTTGGGGCCTGGCTGGTGACACCGGGTTCCTGGGTGGCCCTGGTTTTCCATCACCCTTTCAGATCCAGAAGACGGGGAGCCTGGACAAGGTGGTGACCTGGACCCAGCAGTTCCCCTACGCCCACCCTCTCTGGGTTGGACAGTTCATTGGCTTCCTGAACATCTACGAGCCCGACTACGCCAAAGCTGTGTACAGCCGTGGGGGTGAGGGGCTCAGGGGAGCGGAGGGTGGGGGAGGAGGCCTGGGCCCCTGTCCCCACTCTTCTGATCCACAGACCTCCTGTGGGAACTCCCTGTCCAAGCTTGACCCAATGTTCTCCGCCAACAGACCCTAAAGCCCCGGATGTGTATGACTTCTTCCTCCAGTGGATTGGTGAGTGAGCCCCGGCCTGACCTGCCCCTTGCTGTCCCAATCCACGATGCTGGGCGGTCCACTCTGAGCGGATAATCCCATTACCTGGCCCTCCTGGCCCCCACGTGCCTGGCTTCCTCTCAGCAGCTCCTCAGGAGGCAGGGGAACTCCTGGAGGGCAGGGGAGGCGGATTCCAGGCACCTTCTCTCGCCGAGCTGTCCTGTTCCCTGGAGAAGAACCTGTTCCTCTGGCCCTATTGCTCTGGTTAAACCCTGGCTGGTACAGATTTCCACACAAGGATGATTCCAGAGGGGTGGAACCTTAAGGATGACCTTTCTGAATGGGTCCTGGGCTTTTCAAATTGGCTCCTATTCTGATCAGGTGGAAGGGCAGGAGGGCTCCCAGCTGGCTGGGAAAGTGGGTTCCAGCCTCCTTCTCCTGCTGGGCCTGTCGTTTTCCTCAGACAGACAGGGCAAGGACCTGGAGAATGTGTGAGTGGGAAGAATGGCTTCCCGGAGGAAGTGGCACCAGAGTTGATCCTCCAGGAGAGTCTAATGGCAGGTGCCATCCAGGGCAAGGGCCTGGGGAAGGTGTGGTGGGAGCACCGTGGCTGGTGTTTCCAGAGGCCGGGGGCGCCTTCTGGGCTGGAAGGTGTCTGGGAGATGAAGCTGGTTGGGGAGGACTGGCCACCCTTGGCCGTCAGGACGAGGAGTGTGGTGCATGTTGACGGTAGGTGGGAGCCATTGAGTATTCTTGCGCGAGACTGTGTGCTTCTCCAAAGCTCCCTCACCCCCACTTCTCATTTAACTGCTGATCGCCTGGAGGCCTCAGCATCTCCCTGGTGTCTGGGAAAAGGCAGAGCCAAGAGTAAGAAAACATCCCCCAGACGACACCCAGAAACGTAGGGAAACATTTTTGTGGACTTGGATGATTCCGACTCTCTCTTCCCTGATCTAAGGGCGGATAGAATGGAAAGAGACAGAAGGGGCTGGGGGAGACCAAGGGGCCATTTTGAAGCTGGGAAGGCGTTTCTGTTGCTAGGTATGTGTGGTGACTGGGGGACAGGGTCCCGCCCGAGGCCACCGAGGCCACCAGGCGCACACTGAGCAGAGCAGGCCGTTCCCCTGAGGCTCTGGTGACAGCAGCTGGCTTCCATCCCGCATGCCTGTCCCCAGGGAGCTGCAGCACCATTGTCTGCCCCCAGTAGCATCTGAGCCAGATTCCTGGGCGCAGCTGAGAAGGAGAAATGCAGCCACCCGGTCCTAGGGAGCTCCTGGTGGCCTGGTCCTGGAGGCTCCGGCGCATAGGGACAGGGCTGGGTGGGCTTCCTCCAGGCCGCCAGGCACGGGGCAGGGCTGCTCGGCCAGCCCTCCACCTTGTCCTCCATTCCCTCCCCTTCCCTAGGCAAAGGCCTGCTGGTTCTGGATGGGCCCAAGTGGTTCCAGCACCGCAAGCTGCTCACGCCTGGCTTCCATTACGACGTGCTGAAGCCCTACGTGGCCATCTTTGCCGACTCCACACGCATCATGCTGGTGAGCTCCCTGCGCTGGCCCTCCCCACCTCTGCCCTGGCTCCCCATTCTGTCTGCAATGGCAGCGACAATGCCTGGCTCTGCCGACACGTGCTGCGGGCCCTGAGGACCTGGCCGGGCAGCCTGGCCCCTGTCTCCACAGGGAGCCTGGCCCTCTCTTGTCAGACCAGGGAGTCCTTTGTGAGGCTCCTGCAGCAGTGACTTGGAGGAGGGGTGGGCTGCCTGTCTTTGGGTGGGGTGGGAAAGTCTTGTACTCTATGGGGTACCCCTCCTCCTCTGCCTGACACTGCGGCCTGAAACACCATGGCTGTGCAACTCAGCTCCAGGCGCGATGCCCATCTGGCTTGGCGTCCTGGGGTTGGGGAATCCCCAGGGACTACCTGGGCCAATCTGGGCCCCTGCAGGAAACGCTTCCTTAGTATTACTGCAAACCTGACTTACACACAACCTGTGCTGGGGAGCTCACCACCTCTCGACGGCCCCGAGAGAAGAGAGAGAAAGCATCCATGCGACGGGCAACATCTGCCTGAGGCCCAGAGGCTTCCCAGCCCCAACAGCACAACAGGACGGAGGGCAGGGCAGGGCCTGGCGGCGGAGGGTGCTGGAGGGCAGGTAGGGCATCTGGTGTAGCGCGCCCCCTCTTGGCCACCTGTCTCTGGCTGTAGGAAAAATGGGAGAAAAAGGCCTGTGAGGGTAAGAGCTTCGACATCTTCTCTGACGTGGGCCACATGGCGCTCGACACGCTCATGAAGTGTACGTTTGGCAAAGGAGACAGTGGCCTGAATCACAGGTCAGCAGCACCTCTGGGGTCACGCGCTCTCCCCCAGGGCTGGCTCAGAGGGGAGGGTCGGCCCTGGTCTGAGAGGGGGTGTGGAGGCCGGGCTTGTGGGGAGCCAGGTCTCGCTCACAGAGGCAGGCAGCCACTGCTGGCTTCCATGGGCAGGCTCAAGAGGAAGGGCAGGGGCGCTGTGGTTGGGGCTGAAAGGGAGCTGCTCTGGCTCTGAGCCGCGCCCCCTGCCTCCCCGGGCCCTGCAGGGACAGCAGCTACTACGTGGCAGTCAGCGAGCTCACGCTGCTGATGCAGCAACGCATCGACTCCTTCCAGTACCACAACGACTTCATCTACTGGCTCACTCCGCACGGCCGCCGCTTCCTGCGGGCCTGCAGGGCGGCCCACGACCACACCGGTGGGCCTTTCCCGCAGTGCCCACCTCTCGGGAGCCCGGGTTCCTCCCCCCAGCCCCTCTGTGCTCCCTCCTGCGGTAGGGCCCGGGTTCCTAGGCAGTGATGCCCTGCGTTCTGGGTCCAGACAGGGTCATCAGACAGCGGAAGGCAGCCCTGCAGGATGAGAAGGAGCGGGAGAAGATCCAGAACCGGAGACATCTGGACTTCCTGGACATTCTCTTGGATGTCCGCGTGAGTGTGATGGCCCTCTGCCTGCCAGCGGCTCCTGAGGGCTCTCGCGGCCATCCTCCTAGGACGCGGTTCATTGCACAGCCAGTAGGGCTGTTAAGCGTGTTTTCCTCAGTCCCCACCTGCCTCCTGTTCGTGACACACATCAGGGAGCGTTCAGCAGTGGGCAGGTGCAGCATGTGTATGGGTGGTTGGGACACATTACATAGTTGGGGCACATTAGGTTCCATAATAGTGGCCTGCAGATAATTGCGTGGGAGAAGCGTAGACTTCATTCATTTATCTCATCATTTATTTGTCCACTCCACAAACACCCTGGGTTAGTTCCTGTGCTAGGATGCAGAGATGGGAAAGACCTGGCCCTGCCTTCCAGATCCTTAGAGTCTGGTGGGGGAGGGGGCTAGCAGGTGCATGCAGGAAAAGATGGACGCCTTTCTTTGCCACATGGCATTCTGTGTGCCAACTGAGCAGAGCTAACATTTGGAGATGGGTAGAGTCATAGGCACCAGATCAGAGGGACTGAGAAGAGCTTTGTGGAGTAGCAGGCATCCTGCCTGGGCTTTCAGAAGAGAGAGAGAAAGAAGGGGGAGGGAGAGAGAAAGTAGGAGGAGGGGAAGGGGGGAGAGAGGGGAATCTGGGGCAGAGTCCTGACGCCCAGCCGAGCAGGAGCTTCTCCCCCCTCTCGAACCTTCATTTGACAACTACGGTTGCAAATTCTCCTGGGGGCCCACCCCAAATGTTACGAGCTGTCCTGCTGTGCCTTCCCCACCCCAGGGTGAAAGTGGAGTCCAGCTGTCGGACACAGACCTCCGCGCTGAAGTGGACACGTTCATGTTCGAAGGTCATGACACCACCACCAGCGGCATCTCCTGGTTCCTCTACTGCATGGCCTTGTACCCTGAGCACCAGCAGCGCTGTAGGGAGGAGGTCCGTGAGATCCTGGGAGACCAGGACTCCTTCCAGTGGTGAGTGAGGCCGCGCGGTCCTGCCCAGCCCAGGCAAGGGCCGTGCTCACCTCGGGCCATCGGAGGGTGACCCAGAGCCACCTTGGAAGCCAGTTGAGGTTGGCAGCAGCTGTCCTAGCCCCTCCAGGGCTGTAGCTTTTTTGGGGGGCTGCTGAGCATGGGTGTACCTCTGGGTCTTTCCCCCAAATGGAGCATTTTCAGATGTGTGGCATAGCGGAGCTTGGCAACATGAGGCTAGGGTTTCATGCCCTGATGCTCCCCCTGGTGGCAGAGACAGACTAAGCGTCTGGTTTCTGGATAGACCAGGGAGGGCTGGGAGAGAGAGAGGGGAAATGGGGGCCACATGGAGCCAGGAGAGCTGGTCCGTGGGTGGCAGGGCGCAGGCCGGCTTCTACGCCGCTCCTGCTGGAGAAGGAGGGACTGTTTCCCAAACCCCGTCACTCGCAAACTCTCAAGATGCGCCCGTCTGCTTCTTGGCGCAGCACCTGAAGTCCTGAGCGTGACCCCAGTTGAGTCTGCCTTCTCTTTGTAGCCTCATGGCTCACAGCCTCTTCTCCCTACGACCTGCCCTGCCCAGGCCTTGTATTCTGCCAGGCACCTCATCTTTCCTTCTGGGCTCCAAGCTGCCTCTGGCACCGGGCTTGGCACATTGCAGGGCCATAGAAAATGCTGTTGATGGGAGAAGTTTAGGTTCAGTTGTAGGCAGACTGACCCACAGTTCCAGGTCTGGGGCTGGAAGGATGACATCTCCATTACTCATTTTTATTGGCCAGATGTTGGAAACCTCCTAGGGTATCTGTTCAGGTGCCTGGTGCGGGGAGGAAGTATGGGAAGAACAGGGTTGCTGCCCACACTCACACAGCCACAAAGCCACAGAGAGATACCAGAAGGAGGGAGACTGGGCGGCCTGGATGCTGAGACAGAAGAATGAGAACAAGCGGGGCTGGAACCGGCTTTGCAAGAAGGGTCGGAGCTCAGGCAGAGAAAGAGCCGGGCAGCCCGGGATGGGCAACAGTGTGAACCCAGGCTAAGGCAGGGAGGCAAACATTTAGCTCTGCCACTCCTTTCCACCTCGAACTTGAAGGAACCTGGAGGACACTAGTTACATGAAGCATTAAAACACAAATGAACATTCAGAACTGTGCAGAGGAAGACCTGGAATTTAAGGCTCTGTAAAAGGTCTTGCACAGCAGTGATCATGATCATTGGACTCATATGGGGTCTGAGCTCTGTGCTGGCCAAAGGCAACACACACATGCATGCACACATGCATACACACATGCACACACATGCACGCACACATGCATACACACATGCACACACATGCACGCACACATGCATACACACATGCACACACATGCACGCACACACACTTAAAATTTTCCCTGAGCTTGGCACTGTTGATGCATTGAACAATAAAGCAACATTGGTCTTTCATTCAACCACAGGTACCAGCTCTTGCCCATCCTTTCCATTCCAGTGTGTGTGTGCGTGTGTGTGCATGTGTGTGTGTTGCCTTTGGCCAGCACAGAGCTCAGACCCCATGTGAGTCCAATGATCCCTGCTGTGCAAAACACCTTTTACAGAGTCTTTACGGAGAAAACCAAACTGAACCCACAAAGCTGTCCCTAGTGGGGTTCCCTGGGGTCCTGCCAAGTGTCCTTGCCTGTGATAACAAGGTGCACATACATCTCTAGGGCCGTCCACCTTTCCCTCATGGCAGTGAAGGGGATGAGGGGATGGGGAAGTGGCCACCTGTATCTGGTGCGGCCTGGTTGTGTGGAGGCCCCATGGCCCCTCTTACTGTAGGGTGTGTGGTGGAGGTGAGCGGGGAGGTAGTGAAGCTGGGGCAGGACCCGCCTCCTCCTGGGGTCCCCCTGCTCCCTGTTCCCAGCATGTCCTGCTTCTGTTGCTGGCAGGGAGGACTTGGCCAAGATGACCTACCTGACCATGTGCATGAAGGAGTGCTTCCGCCTCTACCCGCCCGTGCCCCAGGTGTACCGCCAGCTCAGCAAGCCCGTCAGCTTTGTGGACGGCCGCTCCCTGCCTGCAGGTAGGATGCGGTGGGTTGGGAGGTAGGCCTGGAGGCCTCTGGACGCCTCTCTGGCGCCCTCTGTGCCAGTGCCCAAATCTGCACCAAGAAGCGAGAGCTCAGATGTGTGTTTGGAGAGCTGCACTCCAAATCCCAGTTCACAACACTGGGGCAAACTCCTGTACTTCTGAGTCCCCATTTCCTCTTCTGTAAAGCGGGGGTGAGAAGAGCAGGCAAGGCAGTTTTCAGGGTTAGAGAGAAGGTTCTCCAGGATGGTCCTGGACCACTCCACCTGCCCTGGTAGACCCCAGACATCAGGGAACACAGCTAGCATGGGCGATGGTGCCGTGTGACCCCGTGTGCTGGCTCTGTACAGCGTTTCGACCTGTACCCGATGCACTGACCGCACCCAGTGAATGGGAGCTGTTGCTATCCATGGCATGATGTCGCGGTTAACACCATCCCAGGAGTGGGTTCACTGAACACAGCAAGATCCCGGCAGTCGCTGCCTGTCCTGCCTCATGGCCCCGTGGCTGTGTTCCTTCTTGTTCTCTTCATCCCACAAATGCCTGTAGCAGGTGCGTGCTCAGCGCTGGGCCGCACAAACTGGGTGTGATGATCGAAGTACTTGGACAAATCGAGTGTGGTCAGGCTCTCTCCCTGACAGTGGTCGGGCAGGGGCTAATGCCTCATTAAAGGGACATAACAGGTTCTTGGCCTCCATGGATCACCTGGCCACTGGGCTTCTGCTCTGTCCACAGGCAGCCTGATCTCCCTGCATATCTACGCCCTCCATAGGAACAGCGACGTGTGGCCTGACCCTGAGGTACCCGGTCCCTGGGCCTGGAGGTCAGATAGGGTGGGATGCGGGGGGTCCCGCTCTGCCAGGATTTGGTGGGTGTTTAAACAAGGCCTGTCCCTTAGGTCTTTGACCCCCTGCGCTTTTCCCCGGAGAACTCGTCTGGACGCCACCCCTATGCCTTCATTCCCTTCTCTGCCGGGCCCAGGTAGGGAGACCCTGCAGCTGCAGCCTCTGAGCGCAGGATCGGGTGGGCGTCGTTATGGGGACTTGGTGCTGAAGGGGCTCCTACTGAGTCCGCGGTGATCTTCACGTAAGATAAGCCCCGGGGGCCCTCTTGCCATTGTCATGCCCCTGTCCCTGGGAGGTGGGTGGGACGGGTGAGTCATTCCAAGAGAGACTCCCAGGCCAGGAACGCCCGGTGTGAGTCCACTCAGTCTGGGACCCTCACCATGCTCCCAAGGTGTGTTTTTTCAAGCCCAGGTCGATCAGTGTCTCAGCCACTTACGCGTGCGTCCCTTATGCGCTGAGGGCACTGCATCTGCTCACTTTGCTGCTCCCGCAGGAACTGCATCGGGCAGCAGTTCGCCATGAACGAGATGAAGGTGGTCACAGCCCTGTGCCTGCTCCGCTTTGAGTTCTCCGTGGACCCCCTGCGGCTGCCCATCAAGCTGCCCCAGCTGGTCCTGCGCTCCAAGAATGGCATCCACCTCTACTTGAAGCCTCTGGGCCCCAAGGCTGAGAAGTAGCTCTGCTGAGAGCGGGGTCCCCGGCCGCCCAGGCTGCGGCCTCTCCTGAGCGTCGCTGTCTCGTTGGGGGTTCCCTGCCTTCGGGATCTTGTAGCCTGGGAGGGGAGTAGGCACAGACACAGTCACCTCCAGGCCAGTGTCATGGAAACGCATGTGTCGACAGGTGCCTGCTGTGCATGCAAACATTTGGTGAGCACCTACTTGCTTCAGAATTCTCTCTTACTTTCCATAATGGACAGTCTTTCTAAAATGTACCAGAAACTTACAGTCCAGCCTCTGTGTCTTGGTGTGCGCACAGTGGAGGCTCTGCCTCAGGATTTAAGGTCAGGAGCAGGGCCCGCAGGACTGGGGACAGCTTGGGGGCCACCCTGCACTTGATCGGCTTTATCTGTGTGTGGGTGTGGGTGTTTGGAACACAACAGACATAAGGAAGATTTGCTTAGGCCCAGACTGTACACGATGCTGAATAAACAGAACTCACTCATGGCCCCTACGGAAGCCAGGGAGCATGGAGTGTGTTCCCCCAGGGCGCCTCTGCCTTCCTGAGCTGGGTCTCTGTGGCAGTCCTGCCATTGTCAGCGTCTGGGTCTCACAGTAACACGGTGCCCTGGGCATTCTGACCTTGTCTGGGGGAGGTGGCTCAGAGGCATGGGGGTGGCGGAGGGGTTGCTCCCCAAAGGAAGCAAGCGCCCTGAGGCGTGGGTGAGGTAGGAAGGTGCAGACTTTTGGGGGAGGGCCTGGGGCTGGGTGAGATGATGGACTGGAGGTCTTTTTTTTTTTTTTTAAAGATTTATTTATTTATCTGAGAGGCAGAGTTACAGACAGAGAGAGGCAAAGACAGGGAGAGAGGTCTTCCATCCTCTGGTTCGCTCCTCAAATGACTGCAATGACTGGGGCTGGGCCGATCTGAAGCCAGGAGCTTCTTCCAGATCCCCCACATGGGTACAGGGGTCCAAGCACTTATGACATCTTCCACTGCTTTCCCAGGCCATTAGCAGAGAGCTGGATCAGAAGTAGAGTAGATGGGACTTGAACTGGCACCCATATGGGATGCCAGCGCCACAGGCAGAGGCTAACCCACTGCACCACAGCACCAGCCCTGAACTGGAGGCCTGTCACTGCCAGCAGTCCTCTTGGGTTCAGGGTCTAAGGCCTCTAGAGGTTTCCAATCCAGGACTTCGACATGTGTTGAAGGCAGGATGCTGGAGCCCTGGGGGAGGGGCATATGAGAGGAATTCCGGCTCTGGACGCTGGCGATGGGGCTATGGTGCCCCAGGGCGCTGCCACCGGGAGATGAATCCCTCCTGCTATTATTGATCCTTCCCCTCTCAGTAGAGGGCCACGGCCTGTCTGTCATGGGCCACCTGCTCATCCCTGCAAAGCCCCACCAAGACCAAGACTCCTTCCCCTCCTGAGGCAGGGTTGCGGAGGTCCCTGGCAGCCCGCACGTCTGAGCGGCCTGCCTTGAACCCTTTGTTCTGTGCACCAGCCAGGGTGAGGCCCCCACAGCCATCACCTGCGCACTGAGCCTCAGGTCACAGCTGCCTGGTGCACCTGGGTGGCACCCCGTCTACCTGCCTCCACTTCCCTCGCCTCTTTGGGTCTTGAGGAGGCCTGAGGCTGGCTGGGAGGAGGCTGTCATCCTGTCTCAGAAGCAAGGAAGGGAAGCCTGAGACACTCAGCTGGGAGCGGCTAGAGCGAGGCTCCCTCCCTGGAGCTGACGGCCTCTCTGAAGGTGCGTGCTGGCGGGAGAAAGAGCGGAGCACTCAGGGGCCAGAGAGGAGGGGGGCACCTCTTGCGGGAAGGAAGGAGAGAGATTGGGCCCTGGTGGGCACACAGACGGATTCTGCTTCGTCCTTCAAGCTCTGCAAACACACCTGGCTGCCTCTTCTGATCCTGGGGGTGGGCGTGGCCTGCGTCATTTATGAGAGGCATGGCTGCACGGGAGTGGGTGTCATGTGGGTGTCAGGGTTGTGTATATGAGCGTGAGCCCCGCTGCGACTTGCCCACTGCCCACTTCTAGGACATCTCCTGGCTCCCCGTGGAATCCTGCAGTCAGAGCACCTGCCCCTGGTGGTCCCCAGCACGCTGAGCTCCCACTGCAGAACAGCCTGTCCATGATGCTCCCAGCTCATGCTCCTCCCCCAGTCTCCCAGACAAGTGCCCTTCCTGCCCTTCTCAGAGTGAGGCTGAGCCAGCCTGGGAGGCCAGGGACCCGGGAGAGAGATCCCGCTGCACGCTCCATCCTGGGGAGAAAACAGGGCCACAGTGCAGGTTCAGGGTCCCCAGGAAGGTCTGTGGTTGGCATCTGGGGCCCTAGAGTGGGAGTGGTTGGGGGCACAATGGGGGACCTGTGTTCAGAACAGCAAGAGACACACGGGCTGGGTTAAGACAGGCTGACAGGAGCAGGGACACCAGTCCAAGGAAACTGGTGGGAGTACATGGGGGGCAGAGCTAGGAATAGGGCCCAGCACGCAGGCACTGACCGAGTGTGGGCAGAGCTGCTGACGTCCCTCAACCCTTGGTGGCCATCCTGGGTGCAGGGGACTGCCCCAAGGTTGTCCTATGGGGGAAGGGGCTGCTTGGGTTGACCAGACCTTGTCCCCTGGGCTCCTCCCAGCCCTTGCCACCCTTCGGTGAGTTTCCTGAGCAGCCTGCAGGCCCTATGTGTGAGGGAGGCTGACAGGTGGCTCGTGACACAGCCAGGATGGATTTTCTTCTCACTTCTCTGGAGAAGAGCCCTTTGTCTAAACTCCACTGTCATGGGAGTCCCAGGGGCTGGGCAGAGGGGAGCATCAGAGGTCAGATGTATGAGTCTGCATGAAGCGGGATGGACTGCATCAGGCTGGCCTGGGGTCCCGGCACCACAGGGCAGACGTCAGCTGTCTCCTTCCCCAGAGGGGACTTGACACGTGTTTCTCCTCTTCTCCTTCCATCTCCCAGGGGAAGGCAGACTCTGCATACAAGCTTGTCAACTTTATTCCAGAAGGGAGGGAAGGCAGAGAGGTCAGCGTGGATGACAATTGTGTAGACGGCACTGTGCAGGAGAGATTTAGAGACAAGATGGGGTGACAGTCAGGACTGGGTTACAATGACCAATAGCTCTGGAAGATGGACACATGGAACCTATGGAATCCTTGAGTGTGTGACCCCATCTTGCAAAAGGGAATTTGGAGAGATGTGATTAAGTGAAAGATGGCCAGGGAAACTCGCCTAGGTTAGCTGAGTGGCTTTGATGTAATCACAAGAGTTTGTGAGAGGGGAGATGTGGAGAGAGAGAGAGAGAGAGAGAGAGAGAGAAAGATGCTGCTGGCTTTAAGGAGGAGAGAGGGGCCAGTTCTGCAGGGTGCCAGGAACACAGATCTGAAGAGCCGAGGCGGGGATTCGCTCCTAGAACCGCAGAGGGAGCCTGGCCCAGCTGGCAGCTTGCTTTACTCCCAGCAGTGACAGGTGTTTCAGACTCCGACCGCCAGGACTGCAAGAGGAGAACCATCACAGCCGAGATAGTGCAGCAGCTGTCGGAACTGCATCCACGGACGGCAGCAGAGGGAAAGGACCAGCGGAAGGGAGGCAGGCAGAGGGCTGCCAGTGACCAGCGTTAGGTGCACGGTCAGAGATGCTGGCAGGAAGCGGACAGTAGACAGACAGGTCAGTGGCCCAGAGGAAGGTGCGAGAGGACAGACAGCCTGGAGGCCAAGAGGCAGCAAGGCAGACAGGTGGAAGAAGTGCTGGTGGATAGAAAGCAGGATGTGGGCAGACAGGCAGGGGGCATGGGCAGGTGACAGGAAGCCAGGACGCCTGGCAGAAGGCCCCCAGAGCCTGCTCTTGTCCCCACCAGGGTTAGCGGAGCTTCCTCAGACGCAGGTGGATCCCGTTGCTGGACTTCAGCACAAGACGTGGTTTTTGGTCCGGGACTCTTTTGGGATCTGGCAGCAGCTCGAAGCGCAGCAGGGTCAGGGCCACGGCCACCTTCAGCTCATTCATGGCAAATTGCTTCCCGATGCAGTTCCTGGGCCAGGCAGGGACAGTGCAAGGAGAAGCGGCTTCAGGCCCCCTCCCTCTGAGCTGGGCAGCCAGCCATTGGTCCCTGAACTCCAGCCCAGGGCTGGCTGCTCCGAGTCTGCCCAACCCCTCCCCTTACCTCTACCTCAATCATTGGTCACACTCTCCTGACTTTGACAAAGCCTACTGCTCTACCAGGGCTAGTCCTGCCCTCGCTGCTGCTCTCAGAAGACAGGAAGTGACTTGGAGGCCAGGGCCAGCCCCGTATGGGAGAGGGTCATCCACATGAATTATCTAAGTCGTCAGTCTCTGCTAGTTCAGTGTCGGCACAGGCACACAGTGTCGGGCTCCCCGGTGTGGAGTCCACTGGTCAGGACCGCCAGGACAGGCTGGACCGCACTTCCAGGCACTCACCCAGTACAGGGCCCCAGGGACTGAGCTCCTCAGAGGGACTCAGAGGGTCCACCGGGAAGCTCCTGGTCGGGACTGGTCAGGTCTGCCTCCCTCTTGGCTCCAGGCTCCTGCTTCTCAGCTTATCAGCATCTGTTGTTTCCTAATAGCGCCAGCAATGTCCCTCCTTGTCACGCCTCAGTCTCCTCCCCCAACTTTTCTGGTTGCCTTGCTCCTCTCCCTCCACACTGAAGCCCCCACCCAGCTCAGACCCCCCCCCCCCCAAGCCCACGGGACTGGGTTCAAATGCTTCATCTGCTTCGAGCCCTCTGTGGGCTGCTGCTCACCCACCTCTCCCAGTCCAGCCCTACTTCCTGGCTCAGCTCATGTTGCTGAAGTCGCCAAGCAGGTGCAACCCCCCCACCCTCCATCTCTGTCTGACTTCTTCAAGGCTCAGGCCAATGGCTTGCTACAGCTCCCCGCTCTGCTAGCCATCTGACTCCCTCCCAGTCTCCCAAGGCATGATTAGGGTTTTATTCAGTCTCCCAAGGCAATATTAGGGGTTCAGAAACCCCTCATGCTCTAGGCATGCCTAGGACAATGGGAGAACACAGAACATTCCAGAAGCTTCTCAGGAAGTGGCTGGAGGAGTGAAAGAAGGAAGGAAGGAATCATGTCCATTTGGAGCAGAGGTATTTTTCTCTGCAGAGCACACTTCTCTCCTTGACTGTGACCTGTTAGAGGGAGAGCCAGTATTTCTCATCTCTGTACTTCTCAGTTCCGGCAGAGGACTTGGCACAGAGAAACAGGCTTAGTAGCCACTTCTATATTTGAATTAAGTGCATTAACTTCATTTGATTTGAAAAGTTCGATTCAATTGGATTGAAAAAAATAAATCAGAATGGAATACAAGGAAAGGCAACGTTAGTTCCTATCTAGGAACTGAACTCCCTGTGAAGGCAGCAAATGGTTTGCAGGTGTTTAGACAGAGTTCTCACCCCAGGATTAACCATGCCCCCAGCAGCCAGCTCCTGGAGGCACAGTCTGCTAAAGCCTGTTCTCTGAGGGTGGACTCACCATTGGAAGAATTCACAGATGCATGGAATCAGAAAAATGTTTCAACTAACCCTCCACAAGACTCATAGTAATATTCCACTGGATGGCTCCTGCAGCCTTTCGGATTTTCACGGGAGTAACTGGAGGGCGACTGTCCAGCTCAACTGCTACTTCAAGTGGGTTTTAAAGTTACTCATCAGGCACCTTTCAGGGGCTCCGTGTCCTTTACAGAATAGGCAGTCCTTTGTCCTCATTTTAATTTTTTCCAACAAAGGACTTGGTGCAATGTCAAAGTATATAATCTCATTTCACCTGTCAAGTTTTGGGATCTGGGAAAGTGGTAAAGGAAGGCAGACATCCACATGTAGTCAGAATAGTTCTGCGACAGAGTGCCGAGGTAGACAGGACGCAACCTGGTGGGACCCTTTCTACAAAGGCCACCACGACCTTCAAATTCTGTGGCCAGGGCCCCCGAGGATGCCGGGCAGCAAACCAGGCCATTTGGTCCTTTGGTTTGGTGATGGAAGGGTTAGTGACTAAGCAGAAAGATCTGTGGGCTGGCTTGAGAGTGTGTGGGAAAAGGAGACATTGGAAAGTGCAACCCGGGAAGTGTAATGTACACAGAAGAGCCACAACCCCACAGCGAGCAGACCTCCAGGACACCCTGAACTTTGGGGCACCCCCGACACTGCTCTTACACCCCCTTATGTGGCTCACAGAGACACCCACACAAGACCTCTCTCCCAGCAATGCCAACATAAGAGGGCAGGTCTGAAGATCCCACGTGGGAACACAGGGGGGTCACAGGCGCTGGGGGTGAGCCCTGAGACTCCCCATCATCCCCCGACTCTGTCAGCGCACACGGGACACTCACCGTGGTCCTCCTGAGAAGGGCAGGAAAGCGTGGCTGTGGCGAGCAGAACCCGGTGCGAAGCGGGAAGGGTCAAACACCTGAGGAGAGCACCAGGGCCAGGACGGGTGGGGTCAAGGCTCTGCCTCCAACCCGGGAGGGGACAGAGCCCATAGAGACGGGAGTCAAATGAGGAGGTGTGGGTTCCGGGGCTCATCCCCTGCCCTCCTTCCGGGACCCTCGTACCTCTGGGTTTGGCCACACCTTCGGGTTGTGGTGAAGGGCGTAGATGGAGAGCGTGACTATGACACCTTTGGGGCAGGAAGAGACAGAGAAAAGGCTGATCCCACCCATGGGCTGGGGCACGTGTCCTGAGCCAGCAGGGGTCATGCATGAGCAACAGGCCCAGGTGCCACAAACCATCACTTTGAGCAGGGCGCTCATGTGAGAGCAGCAGGCTGGGCTTGGCAAGGGACCTGAGCTTCCATGAGAAGCAGATAACTAAGAATCCAAGAGAGAGAAGCAGGAAGGAATCGGCCCTTACTTTCTGGAGCAGCTCAAGTGAAACTACATAAACTCATCAGTCCTCACAACGGCCTTCCGAAGGAGGTCCTCATCCATCCCCACTTTCCAGAGCAGGTAACCGGGGTTCAGAGAGATCAGGTCTGCCACCCAGCTAGGGTGTGGCAGGGCTGGCATTCAGACCCCTGAGAGGTGTGCCAGTGGCTTCCTACCGTGGCAGGGGTAGCCATCCTCTGCTCTCTGCCATCAGTCCTCAGAGCCTGCACCGTATCTGACTCACGGCACAGGTTCCTTGGTCATCCTCATCTGCTCTGGCCTCATCTGCCTCTGTACTGTCTCATGGCATTCACAGTCATCCACATCCCAGGGAAGGTGAATACCAGGGCCCAAGTCCCCGGGCCACATCCAGAGGTGACGGATGAGAACACACACGTGGAAAAGCTTCCACAGATAGGATCTCAGTGCATTTACCCATCTAAACACACAGTTCTTTACATTTGCTTGCAAAGAACTAGCCACACATTGTATCAAATATGGAAGATGTTAAAAAAAAGTACATGAGACAAAGAAGACGGGTGATGGGCAGGATCAGTGCTGAACCCTGTAATGCTGGAGAATGGAACTGCAGTGTGGAATATTAGAACCAAAGACGCTCAGTGCTACCAGTTAGAATCAGTTGAGGCCTTGTAAGATGCTAGAGCAGGAAGGTTTTTAACTGGAGAGGGACACAAACTTAGGTCCCATCTGGAATATCAAAATTGGAAGGAAACTTACAGGTGATCAGGCGAATGTCTCACACTGGAAAATGCACTTAGAGTAAGAAAAAGAAGGAATGATTGTGGAGAGTTTGCTGCAGCCCAGCTGTGCCAAACATTTCACATATTTTATCCGAACCACACAAAGGAAGCACTCCTTTCTTGGTGAGCCCAAGGAGACCAGAGAGGCTTGGAGCTGCAGGAGCTCCCAGGGACGTCGGATCCTCCATGTGTCCTTGGGAGCGCTTAGGTGAGGGTGGGCAGTTCGTACCCTTGGGGAGGGAGCGTCCATCAGGGAAGGTGACAGGTGAGCTGAGCTGTCTGCCGACACCTGGCACTGGTGGGTAGAGTCTCATTGCCTCCTTGATGCACATGGTGGTGTAGGGCATCTGGTCCAGGTGCTCCCTGAAACAAAGCCCAGGCAGAGGAGGGGGAAGGGCTGGGCCCCCCAGGGCTTCCCCTCCCAGACAGGCAGGGCCCCCTGCCTCACCTCCTGGGCTCTCACTCACCAGGTGATGGAGGCTCCATCCCCCAGGAGGCCCTGGATCTCCTCGCGGCACCGGTGCTGATGCTCGGGGTGCGTGGCCAGGGCATAGAAGATCCAGGAGATGCCGCTGGCCGTGGTGTCATGGCCCTCAAACATGAATGTGTCCACCTCGGCGCGGAGGTCCTGGTCAGACAGGCTGCTCCCGTTCTCCATCTGGGGGAGGCCACAGCGGGAGAGAGGGCACGGGCTCTGTCCCTGGCTCTGTGCTTCCAGGCCAAGCTCGGGCCTGCCCTGAACACACTGACCTTGGCAAAGAGGAGGACGTCCAGGAAGTCCAAGCGCCTCTTCCTCCTGACCTTCTCCAGCTCCCCCTCCTGCTGCAGCTGAGCCTTCCTCTGCTGGATCACTCGGTCTGTGCCAGAGCAGTGGGTACCGGAGCAGCTGAGAGCCCCACCTGCCCCAACCTGGGTGCCCTGGAGGTCAGGGTGAGCGTGGGAGTGGGTGTGTGGGTCGGGGTGGGAGCCAGCATCCTGGGATGCAGGGCAGGCCTCCCTGCAATTGCACAGCCCAGGAGCCTCAGCTGATTGCTGCTGGGCTGGGGCCTCATTCAGTCATCGCCCGTGTGATGGGAACCCCTGCCAGCACCTGGCACCCCAGCATCTCAGCTCGCGACCCCTGCACCAGGGAGGTACCCAGCGTGTGTGTCCCAGCTCCTGCAGGTGGAGCATGTGCCCGGCTCTGCCTTATGAGTTGATGTCAGCTCCTTTATGCAGTGCTCGCTCAAGGAGGGGACACAGGAGGAGGAGGCAGCACCTGTGTGCTCGTGGGCGAGCTGGCAGGCACGGTGGGACAAGCGGCCTTCAGGGCTCAGCCTGTAGATGGTGTCACTCTGATGAAAGACGTTCCTCACTCGGGAAAAGAACAGGTTGTTCAGGTCCCCAACAGCCTGGATGTAGGACTGGGAATTCCTGAGGGAGAGGACGTGGACGAGGTCAGAGTGGAGGGGCCTCTGATCTGCAGGCAGAGTGGGGCTCTGGGAGGAGATTCCTCCCCACACTGGGGACAGGCAGCATGGAGACACACACCACTTCTGTTTGCAGTCCTTGTGACCCTGGGGCCTCTGTAGGATGGCAGGAGAGCCAGGCTCCCACCTGTGCTGGGTGGGGCGGGGTGGGGCATCAGGGATCTGCGGTGGAGGTAGGGGGAATCTGGTCTGCAGTTAGAGCTTGGTGTGGGCTAGGTCAGCGTCTTGCCTTTTGTGGAGGTGAGCATGCTAGTCCCTCCCACCCCCAGCTGGCTGGGAGGTGCGGGCACACTGATGGTGAGCACAAGGACCCTGCAGGTGAAGAATTATCACTTGGCGGTTCCAAGGTGGCAGAGTAAGGGGGGAGCTTACTCCTCTAGCCCAGGAGAAGACAATTTTAAAAAAGTGTTGGGTGCTGGTGCTGTAGCACAGCGGGTTAAACCCTGGCCTGAAGTGCCAGCATCCCATATGGATGCTGGTTCTAATGCCAGCTGCTCCACTTCTGATCCAGCTCTCTGCTGTGGCCTGGGAAAGCAGTAGAAGATGGCCCAAATCCTTGGGCCCCTGCACCTGTGTGTGAGACCTGGAAGAAACTCCTGGCTCCTGGCTTTGGACTGGCACAGTTCCGGCCATTGTGGCCATTTGGGGAGTGATTCAATGGAAGGAAGACCTTTCTCTCTGTCTTTCCCTTTCTCTTTCTGTAACTCTACCTCTCAAATAAATAAAATAAAATAAAAAGTGGAACTAGTGTTGTCTCAGGGAAGAGTTTGGGAGAAAACGGTGGAGGAAACTCTACTGAAATAAGAGCGACATGGGGGACCTATGTGCAAGGTGTGGGTGCCCACGGCTCGGGACTCCAGCAGCTGAGAGCCTACACACCAGTATTGGAAAGTGAGGTGAGACCAGACTGCAGCAACCCAAACCACTGGTAAAAAAGCTGCAGGAAGAGCCTAGAGGGAAGGCAGTTTGGAGCCCAGTGGGGGAAAATGTACCAAACTACATGAGAAAAAAAAAAAAAGACTGGGAAGACACGGTTCTCTCTCCCTGATCACTCTACAATGGCATCCTGTAAGAAGCCAATAGAGCGGGCACCATTTTGGACATACATAACAGCTGCGCCAACTCCTGTCTGTGCCCAGCAACCAAGCGAGTGGATGAATAATATACCCACTGGGGCTAGCACTCAAGCACTGGTCTCCTTTGAGGAGAGGAGCTTAGCTGAGCAGAATAAATTTCCCTTCTGATAAAAAAAGAGAAATGCCAAACAACAAATGCCCCAATTGAAGAAACAAGAATAAGCAAGACTACATGACACCCCCAAAAGAACTTGAAACTTCAATACTAGGTTGTGAAGATGATGAGATGGAAGAAATGCAAGAAATGGTATTCAAAAAATTGATCATAAGGTTACATAGAAGTAATCAGAAGCAAATGTGCAAAATACTGAAATCTGTACAGGACATAAAGAAAATTTCTCCCATGAAATTGAGATCTTAAGGAGAAACCAAAATGAAATCTTGGAAATGAAGAATTCAATAGAACAAATAAAAATTGCAGTGGAGAGCATTAACAACAGAATCGGTGAAACAGAAGAAAGAATATCAGACTTAGAAGACAAAGCACAGGAAATTACACAGTCAAACCAAAGACAAGAAGAGGAAATTAGAAAATTAAAAAAACATTATTGGGAATCTACAGGATACTATACAAAGACCCAATATATGAGTTCTAGGAGTTCCTGAAGGCTTGGAAAGTGAGAAAGGATTAGAAGACTTTTTTAGTGAAATAATAACAGAAAACTTCCTTAGTTTGGAGAAAGAAAGGGACATCCAAGTATAGGAAGTACATAGAACTCCTAATAGACATGATCAGAAAAATCCTCACCATGATACATTGTATACATTGTAATCAAACTCTCCACAGTAAAATATAAAGAGAAGATTCTAAAATGTGCACGAGAGAAATGCCAGATTACTTTAAGAGGACCTCTACTTAGACTCACAGTGAATTTCTCATCAGAAACCCTATAGGCTAAGAGAGAATGGCAAGATATAGTCCAAGTCTTAAGAGAAAAAAACTGTCATCCCAGAATATTATACTCTGCAAAGCTCTCATTTATGAGTGAAATAAAGACCTTCCATAACAAATAGAAATTGAAAGAATTTGTCACCACCCATCCAAGCCCTACAAAAGATGCTTAAGGATGTGTTGCACATAGAAATGGAGAAACATGGTCATCACTATGAAAGAAGGTAAGGGAAGAAAATCTCTCAGTAAAAGTTAAAAGGAAATTAAAAGTAAAAAAATAGGAATATTTTTGGAAAAATGGCAGGGCAAAGTCATTACTCATCAATAGTCACCTTGAATGTAAATGGCCTCAACTCCTCAGTTAAAAGACACAGATTGGCTGAATGTATTAAAAAAAATCTATCTGCTTCCTACAATAAACACATCCCAGCAATAAAGATGCATGCAGACTGAAAGCAAAAGAATGGAAAAAGATATTCCATACCAACAAACCAAAAAAGAGCTGATGCAGCCATCCTATTATCAGACAAAATAGACTTTAACACAAAACTGTTAAAAGAGACAAAGAAGGTCACTATATAATGGTTAAGGGATAAATTCAACAGGAAGATGTAACTATTATACATCTATATGCACCTAATTACAGGGCACATGGCTATTTAAAAGAAATGTTAAGGAATTTAAAGGGAGATTTAGACTCCAATACAATAGTAATGGGGGACTTCAATACTGCACTTTCAGCAATGAACAGATCAACCAGACAGAAAATCAACAAGGAAACAGCGGAGTTAATCGACACTATAGACCAAATGGACCTAATAGATATCTAGAGAACTTTTCATCCTAGAGTTGCAGAATCCACATTCTTCTCAGCAATGCAGGAAACTTTCTCTAGGATTCACCACATACTAGGCCATAAAGTAAGTCTCAGCAAATTAAAAAAAATCAAAATCATACCATGCATCTTTTCTGACCACAGTGGAATGAAGCTGGAAATCAGCAACTCAGGAATCTCTAGAGCATATGCAAACACATGAAGACTGAACAACATGCTCCTGAATGAATAGTGGGTCAGAAGAAATCAAAAGAGAGATCAAAAATTTCTGGAAACAAATGAAGATGACAACACAAGATATCAAAAATTATGAGATACAGCAAAAGCAATGTTAAGAGGAAAGTTTATTGCAATAGGTGCCTACATCAAGAAATTGGAAAGGCACTAAATAAATGAGCTATCAGTGTATCTCAAGGATCTATAAAAACAGCAAACCAAACCCCAAACTAGTAGGAGAAAAAAAATAATTAAAACTAGAGAATAAATCAACAAAATTGAATAAAAAACAAAAATAATACAAAAGATTAGCAAAATGAAGAGCTGGTTTTTTGAAAACAAAAAAATTTGACACACCATTGGCCCAATTAACCAAAAAAAGGAGAGAGAAGACTCAAATAAATAAAATTAGAGATTAAAAATGAAATATAACAATAGACATCACAGAAATAAGAAAATCATCAGAAATTACTACAAAGAGTTGTATGCAAGCAAACTGGGAAGCCTAGAAGAAATGGAGAGATTCCTGGACACATAAAACCCACCTAAATTGATCCATGAAGACATAGAAAACCTAAACAGACTAATCACCAAGACAGAAATTGAATCAGTAATAAAGGCCCTCCCAACAAAGAAAAGCCTAGGACCAGATGGGTTCACTGATGAATCTACCAGACATTTAAAGAAGAACTAACTCCAATTCTTCTCAAGTTATTCAAAACAATTGAAAGAGAGGGAATCTTCACAATTCTTTCTATGAAGCCAGCATCACAATTATTCTTAAACCTGAAAAAGATGTAGCAGAGAAAGAGAATTACAATTTCCCTGATGTTCATAGATGCAAAAATCCTGGAGACCTTCAGGGCACAGAAGACCTCGAATAGCTAAAGCAATCTTATACAACAAAAACAAGGCCAGAAGCAAAACAATATCAGATTTCAAGACTTACTACAAGGCAGTTATAATCAAAACAGCCTGGTACTGGTACAAAAATAGATGGATAGCTCAATGGAACAGAATAGAAACACCAAAAATCAATCTGAACATCTACAACCAATTTATATTTGATCAAGGAGCTAATACCAATCCCTGGAGCACCATTCAACAAATGGTGCTGGGAAAATTTGGATTTTCATATGCAGAAGTATGAAGCAAGACCCCTACCTTAAACTTTACACAAAAATCCACTCAACCTGGATTAAAGATCTAAATCTATGACCTGATACCATCAGATTATTAGAAAACATTGGGGAAAACTGGCAAGATACAGGCACAGGTGAAGAGTTCTTGGAAAAGACCCCAGAGGCACAGGCAGCCAAAGCCAAAATTAACAAATGGGATTACTCCAAATTGAGAAGTTTCTGTAATGCAAAAGAAACAGTCAGGAAAGTGAAGAGGCAACCAACAGAATAGGAGAAATTATTTGAAAACTATGCAACTGATAAAAGATTAACAACCAGAATCTACAAAGAGATCAAGAAACTCCACAACAACAAAACAAACAACCCAGTTAAGAGATGGGCCAAAGACTTAAAAAGGCATTTTTCGAAAGAGGAAATCCAAATGGCCAACAGACACATGAAAAAATGTTCAGGATCACTAGCCATCAAAACCACAGTGAGGTTTCACCTCACCCCATTTAGAATGGCTTTTATAGAGAAATCAACAAACAACAAATCTGGAGAGGATGTGGGAAAAAAGGTATCCTACACCACTGTTGGTGGGAATGCTAACTGGTAAAGCCATTATGGAAGTCAGTTTGGAGATTCCTCAGAAATCTGAATATAGTCCTACCATATGACCCAGCCATCCCACTCCTTGGAATTTACCAAAGGAAAATAAAATCAGCAAATAAAAGAATTATTTGCACCTCTATGTTTATTGCAACTCAATTAATAATAGCTAAGACATGAAATCAACATAAATGCCCGTCAATGGAAGACTGGATAAAGAAACTATGGGATATATACTCTGAAATACTATACAGTGGTAAAAAAAAACAAAAATGAAGTCCTATCATTTGCAACAAAATGGATGAATCTGGAAAACATCATATTCAGTGAAATAAGCCAGTCCCATAGGGACAAATACCATATGTTCTCCCTGATTTGTGACAACTAACAGGAATCTGTGACAACAGATTCTGTGACTAACAGGATCTGTGACAACTACAGGCTTCTAAAAAGGAAACCTGTAGAAGTGAAGTTGACAGTATGAGAAGCAATGACTTGAACAGCCCTTGTCTTAAGTGTTGAGGAACAGTTTATTTTATTATTTTTTATTATTTTCTTTTTCTATTTAATATAATTTGTAGAATTCTTTACAACACAAAATTATTTATAGGTATATAAATCCAATTGAAAATAGATCCTAGCCATCGCTGCGGCTCACTAGGCTAATCCTCCGCCTTGCAGCGCCGGCACACCGGGTTCTAGTCCTGGTCGGGGCGCCGGATTCTGTCCCAGTTGCCCCTCTTCCAGGCCAGCTCTCTGCTGTGGCCCGGGAGTGCAGTGGAGGATGGCCCAAGTGCTTGGGCCCTGCACCCGCATGGGAGACCAGGAGAAGCACCTGGCTCCTGCCTTCGGATCAGCGCGGTGCGCCGGCAGCAGCGCGCCGGCCGCGGCGGCCATTGGAGGGTGAACCAATGGCAAAAAGGAAGACCTTTCTCTCTGTCTCTCTCTCTCTCACTGTCCACTCTGCCTGTCAAAAAAAAATAGATCCTAGTAAAAAATAGGAGTGGAGAGGCCTGTGCTGTGGCACAGTGGGTTAAAGCCCTGGTCTGCAGTGCTGGCATCCCATATGAGTGCCAGTTTGAAGCCTGGCTACTCCACTTCCAATCCAGCTCTCTGCTGTGGCCTGGGAAAGCAGTAGAGGATGGCCCAGGTCCTTGGGCCCCTGCACCCACGTGGGAGACCCAGAAGAGGCTCCTGGCTCCTGGCTTTGGATTGGTGCAGCTCTGGTTATTGTGGTCATCTGGAAGTGAACCAGCGGATGGAGAACCTCTCTCTCTCTCTCTCTCTCTCTCTCTGCCTCATCTCTCTCTGTGTAGCTCTTTCAAATAAATAAATAAATCTTTAAAAAATAGGAGTAAAAATAAGAGAGGGAGGAGCTATATAGTTTGGCACACATTCCCATGGACTTACCCCCAAGGATAAAGCTAAAAACTTGCCATGGGACTCCAAATCCCATTAAGCTGTGTGGTACTAATGCCATCTTACTTGTTAAAGTGATCATATTAAGTGTGTAATTGATCATGTAGATAGGATTAAGTGTCAAAGGGATCAAATAAATAAGACCAAGTGTCTGGTAATAACAATAAATAGAATTAAACAGGAGAGAATATTCCAACATGGGAAGCAGTCCACATAGTAGATTCATAGAATGACAAATGCCTTAAACAGCACTCTGACCTCAGAATCAGCCCTTAAGGCATTCTGATCTGGCTGAAAAGCCCATGAGAGCATTTCAGGCATGGAAAGCCAAGACACTGTGGCAAAAAAAAAAAAAAAGTGATCTACATGAATGATTTCTGTGAGTGAGACCCCAGTGGAAAGAAGGGACCATCGAAGAAGTAGGTACCTTTCTGTGAAGGGAGGAGAGAACTTCCACTTTGCTTATGGCCCTGTCTAAATACAGAAGGAGTTTGTGGACTCAAAAGGCTTCCATAGCCTTGGCAGCTTATGTGATCAGAGACATCATAAATAAGAGTGTCAATTGTTAAATCAACAACAGGAGTCACTGTGCACTTACTTTCCATGTAGGACCTCTGTTCTTAATGAGTTGTACTATGAGAAATAACTGTAAAACTTGCTCTCAATCAGTACTTTATACTTTGTGTGTGTGGGGGGGGGTACAAATTGTGAAAATCTTTACTTAGTATAGAGTTGGTCTTCTGTATATAAAGTTAATTAAAATGAAACTTAATGAAGAATGGGATGGGAGAGGAAGTAGATAGAGGTGGGACAGGAGTGGGGGTGAGAGGGTGGGTATGGGGTGAAGAACCGCTATATTCCAAAAGCTGTACCTGTGAAATTTGTATTCATTAAATAAGAGCTTTCTAAAAGCAAACACACAAAAGGATTATCACTAACCTGTCCAACTGGACGCTGCCCTGGTGGCTGAAGGCACACTTCATGATGGTGTCCAGGGTCATCAGGGAGATGTCTTGGAAGACCTCCAGGGAGGAGTCCTGGCTGACCAGCTGCTCCCATTTGTCCTGTGGGGAGGCTGAGCCTTGGCCTTGATTCCCACCCAAGGCCTGGGCCAGGGAGCTGCGGTTCTTTCCCTGAATCCCCAGGTGTTTTGTTTAGAAACCCTCACACAGAGCAGATGTAATGTAACAAATTGTCTGTAAAGCAAATATTTGTAAAATGAAACTTCTGTTTTCACCAATTTTATTATAAAATTAAACATAGTCTAGCATAAGATTAAATTTAAAATTTTGAGATCCAGTTTTGATTTTTCCGATGTTGACAAATGTATTTATTTGGGGGATAAGGAGCAAGAGGCCTGACTCTTCAGCATTCTGAAAGTTGAGTTAGAGCTGTGGGACTAGTTAGATCCAAAGAGCACAGACAGCCCAATGGGCCACTGTGGACATCTCAACAGGGGACAGCACTTCGCTTCCTTTGTGTTCATCAGGGGTTTGCTGAGCACAACTGAATGAGGAGTCAGAGTTCTGATGGGAGGGACTGATGGTGTGGCAGGTGTGGCTCTGAGAATGGAGCCCTGGTGGCCACTTGGCTCTGTGGCTGGCTCACACCCACGCGGAAGCCGTGGGCCCTAGGTCAGAGCCTCTTTGAGGGATGTAATGGGATGTCCACCCTGCCACTGAAGCTGCTGTTAGCCAGGTCAGCCAGGAGCAGGTCAACTTGCTATCTTGTGAGACTAATGATTCCTCCAGTTCTCCGTGCAAAAAATTTGGAAGTGGGAGGCCAGCAGCCTGTGTCCACCATGGCCCTATCTTCTGGGATGATGAGCAAAGTGTGGCGTCATCTTGATGCTTGGACGTTTTCTGAGTCGTGCACCTTTAGGGAACCCTGCTTTCCTATCAATGGCCTGAGTGCTACTTTGTGTGGCTGTGTCTGATGACTGTGGGGCACATGAGTTTGACAGCGGAGTCTGTGACTGCGTGCTGGGAGTGGGTGTGTGGAGGTGACAGACAGACGGACTCACCAGCATGATTTGGACGGAGTCCGCCATGAGCCCCACGTAGGGCTTCAGGATGTCGTAGTGGAAGGCTGGGGTGAGCATGCGCCGGTGCTGGAACCACGTCTGCCCATTCAGCAGGAGCAAACCATACCCTGGGCCAGAGATGAGTGTGCATGTGTGTGTGTGGGTGACAGGATCAAAAGGATGACCTGGGACAATTTGGGGGTACAGAGAGAGACTTGGGGGAGAAAGAAGAAGGTCCATCAAGGACAAAGGCAAAAAAATTGGTGCATTTTAGGATTGTGAATTTCCAACTGCACTGGAACATGCAAGGTTATAATGACTGTGAGATAAAGGGGGAAAAGAGTTGAGGAGCGGAAGTTAAGTCAGAGCCAGGCTGAGCATGTTTGGAGAACAAGAAATGCCAGGAGGAGCTGATCTTCAAGAGGGCTCATGCCAGCTTTAGGAAGCAATGAGGGTCTGGTTAGAAGACAAATCAGGTTTGATTGAGGGATGGGGTGGTGACAGTGGAGGCCACCACTCACTTATCTCAGTGAGCCAAAGTGATAACTGCTGGTAAGCTTAACTGGGAAGTGGGTTCAGTCCTAATTTAGTCGTACATACCAATCCAGGGAGCCAGGAATCTGTAGGAACCTTGAGCTTTTGGGTCTGAAAGACAAGTAAGGACAAGTGTTGGCAATGAGGCACCAAATGAGGCAGACCCCTGTGGTAACTGATTCACACCGTGGGCTGTCATCAATTCCTGATGACTTTCAGTTGGCAGTTGGTCCCATGAAACCTCCTGCTTGCCTCTCACCCCCTTCCATCTTGTCCAGAAAGTCCATTGTGCTCAGGAAGGTAGACTCAGGGTACCAGCATCCAAGTACCCACAGGACCAGGAGGATGAGTTGGTGAGAAATGTATAACTTTGTCCTCCATGCCCAAGTTTGCAGTTTTTCTATCTTAGGGTAGCTTAGCCATCAGTAAGAATCTGAGGTTCCCAATTCAAGTCAGTATGAATATTAAGTTCTTTTTTCCAGGTCTGGGGCAATTGCATAACATAACAGATTATCTCAGTTTTGAGTGAAGAAAGGGGGCATAAGAAGAAAAAAGAAAATGAAATGTAGTCCTGTGCAGCTGTTTGATAAATCCAGTACTAAGTAAACATGCTGGTTCACTTTATGGCATGGGTGTTGGGAGCATGGTTGGTCGGGTGTTTAGGCATTGATGTCTAAAATGCCACTGTCTCTCTGGAACTTCAGAGCCACAGGGGCAGAAGCCCAACAGGGCAGGGCTGCTCCAACTGGGATGAGGTTTCACGCTTACCTGATCTCCCCAGAATCACCTTCATGTAGTCAGGGTCATAGATCAGGAGGTGGGCTCTGCTCCCCCATAGCCAGCGAGGACAAGCACTTGGGAATTTCTCCACCCATTTCAGCATCACTTGTAACTCATGGCCATTTTGGAACTGTCACCAAAAGAAAGAGAAATCATTAAAAGTCATCATTTAGTTCTAGTTCTTGGAGTGGAATGAACTGTAGGACAACCAAAGGGAGATAGTTCTGGCCTTAAAAGGTCTAAGTAGTGATTTGGAGCTGTTTCTGACAGCTTATCTGGGCTGGAAGCCAGTCCTTTGGCCTCCCCCAGGCCTTGCTCTAAGATCTTGCTCTAGGACTCTCCCCCCTCTTGGATGGAGCTGTGTGACTTCGAGGGCTTATGGGTATCAGAGCCTCAGCTGTTGGTACCAGCTCCATATCCTCCAGCTACAGTCAGATGAGACCAATGCATATGCTTTTGGTAAGTTCCCCTTTTTACTTTGTCTTAAGCCTCTGCACCTCCAGTGCTGACAATGCAGGGGTGGCTCTGTGGCTTTCCAACCCTTGAGCTGTTACTTTCCCTCCTTTCTCTGTCACTCCACACACCTGGCCTGAGTATCCCTGTGCCAGGCTCTGTGCTGGGCCATGGGGTAATAGGGAGGGAAAAAGTGTTCTCCCAGGATCTTATTCTCCAGGGGGTGCGGGAAGAATAACGGGAGGGCGACAGACTGTTTAACGTGCAACTCCAAGTCAGTACCAATCACCTGGAGGACATCATGTAGGCCACCTCCCTCTGTGTGCCCTTGACCCTGAAATCACACATTCTGGAAATTCCCTCAGTCTTGGGCCAACCAAGCCAGCTGGTCCCCTACACCTGACATTACACCACTCCCCGCCCTGTCCAGCAGAGAGAGCTGTTCCCCATGTCCTGATTCCTTAGGAGATTCCTGCCTGTCGTCTCCACACACTGAATCCCACAGAACAAGGATTCCATCAGTGGCTCATGTCATTCCCAGGCAAGCCCAGGCCCAGGCAGAGAGGGTGACTGAGTGACTGGGACAAGGAAGCCTCTAGAAGCTTGGTTCTATGAAAGCAGTTGAGGCTTCTGGAGGTGCTCAACCTGGAGTTGGAGAGACTCAAATAGGAGCTGTCTAGCCCTCCAAGGGCAGGGCTGCCAGGATGGAGGGCAGGTGTGCAGGAGGAGGGAGTGTGTGACAGGGCTGGGTCACAGCAGGACAGGATGCCAGTGAGACTGGGAGCTCCCCATTACTAAGGATGAGGATTCTTAAGTGTTGAAATTTAACTGAAATGTGATCCCTGTTAAGCATAAGAGTGGGAATAAGAGAGGGAAGAGATGTACAATTTGGGACATGCTCAGGCTGACTTGCCCCAAATGGTAGAGTTAGAAACATACCAGGGGACTCCAATTCAATCCCATCAAGGTGGCATGTACCAATGCCGTCTCACTAGTCCAAGTGATCAATTTCAGTTCATAATTGATCATAATGAAAGGACTAAGAGTCAAAGGGAGCACATAAACAAGTCTAGTACCTGCTAACACTAACCGATAGAATAAATAAAGGGGAGAGTGATCCAACATGGGAAGCGAGATACTCAGCAGACCCATAGAATGGTGGATGTCCTAAACAGCACTCTGGCCTCAGAATCAGCCCTAAAGACATTCCGATCTGGCTGAAAAGCCCATGAGAGTATTTTAGGCATGGAAAGCCAAGACACTCTGGAAAAAAAAAAAAAACCTAAATGAAAGATCTCTGTGAGTGAGATCCCAGTGGAAAGAACGGGTCTTCAAAGAAGGAGGTACCTTTCTCTGAAGGGAGGAGAGAACCTCCACTTTGACTATGACCTTGTCTAAACAAGATAAGAGTCAGAGAACTCAAGGGGCTTCCATAGCCTTGGAAACTCATGACTGGAGCATGGGGAGATTACTGAGGCCATAAACAAGAGTGTCAATTTGTAAAGTCAACAACAGGAGTCACTGTGCACTTACTCCTCATGTAGGATCTCTGTCCTTAATGTGCTGTACCTTGAGACTTAATGCTATAACGAGTACTCAAACAGTATATTTCACTTTGTGTTTCTATGGGGGTGCAAACTGTTGAAAGCTTTACTTAATGTATACTAAACTGATCTTCTGTAAAAAAAAAATAAGAAGAAATTATCAATTCCCAACTTGACTCTCACTGGGATTAAACATGACAATAGGTCTGATCTGATTTCATCATCATTTAAAAAATCATCTATTATTTTTCACTTTATGTTTCTGTGTGGGAGCAAACTGTTGAAATCTTTACTTAATGTATGCTAAACTGATCTTCTGTAGATAAAGAGAATCGAAAATGAATCTTGATGTGAGTGGAAGGGAAGAGGGAGTGGGAGAGGGGAGGGTTGCGGGTGGGAGAGACGTTGTGGGGGGGAAGCCATTGTAGTCCATGAGCTGTACTTTGGAAATTTATATTCATTAAATAAAAGTTAAAAAAAAAAGACTGAACCTGAAAAAAAAAAAAAAAGTCTATCTGCAAAAAAAAAAAAAAAAAAAAAAAAAAAAAAAAAAAAAAAAAAGGATGAGGATGAGGATGAGAGGGAATCTGAGCGTCCCCTTGTGGCCCTGTGCTCCTGTGTCCTGGGACCCTGCTCTCCGGGTTCTGAGAGCCCCGGCCGCCCCTGCCTCCCGGTCCCTGTCCGGCTCCTTCCTACCTCTCTGCTGTGCCCCAGGAGCCAGTGGAAGGGTGGGCACGGGAACTGCTGGAGGGCTCTGAGCAGCCACTGGCGGTGCAGGTAGAGCTGAGCTGCCTTGAGCAGCAGCAGGAGCAGGCCCAGCAGGCCCGCCACTTGGAGGAGCCCGGAGAGGCTGCCCGGGAGCCGGGTGGGGTTCAGTGCAGACACGCTCATGGTGCAGCGGCTCTGGACCTGTGACTGTCCCTCCCTGTCACTGACCCTTGCCCAAGTTTTAGGAGCGTTGCCCCGCCCACCTATGGGGAGAGCGAAGGGTGGGGACAGAAGTCGACCTCACAGAGCAGAGATCATTAACCCTGGGAAGAAGTTCACAACACCCTGGGGAAGAAAGCCAGAAAAGCTTTATCAGCTGGCAGTGACAATGTTTGTGGACACCTGCCCATCTCCATGTTATTCCCAAACATTTAATGAGCACCTACTATGTGCCAGGCAGTATGCTCAGTGTTGGGCGGCACATTAGCAAGAACAGATATGAGCCCCAACTTCAGGGAATTCGCAGGCTAGTTTATTTGAACTTCAATAAGTGTGGCTGCATTTATTACTGCCTTGACTTCATCCATCAGACGTTGAGGACAGGGAGGTGAAGCGATGGTTTTCGGAGGAAAGCAGTCATTGCCAGTTCAAGGTGGGATTGGCACCATTTTTTATTGGATTCCCAAACTGCCTCCCTCCAACAGCCTCAGAAATGTGACCAACACCCTTTTCCTCGCCTTTCCTCCTTAAAGGTGATTCAGTATAACCCCCGAGGTGCCACAGCTCCTTTTTTGTCCCCTAATTCTGGGCGCTGTGGAAAATCTCAGGGAGATGGGCAGACAAGCATTTCCACCCCACTGCCCTCAACTTTGCCCTAGTTCAGTGTTTGCGTTCCATCTCGCTCTCCAGCCTCTCTCCATGACCAGGGACTCTTGGACCCTGGCCTTTGTCCTACTTGTCTCAGAACCTGTTGTGCACCTACAGCACAAGGTGAAAAGAACAAGGAGCAGAAAGAACTTTGAAGCCAGGGAGCGCGGTTTGCGGTTTGGAATTTTGGTTGTTGAGTCTTTTTTCCTTGCCCAGTTTCTGAGCTCTTTGCAATCATTGGGCCCCTGCTGTGCTGTCAGCTAACGTTGAGTATTTACTGTGTTCTGAGCAAAGAACTTTATGTGTTTTCTCTCACAGCAAACTTACTGAAATGTTTGTATGTCCATGTGGCAGCCCCCCAACTCTTAGGAGCCCTTGCACAATTGCTGTGTTTTACTCTGCATTTCCAAGGAGCGGGCAGATCTGTCAGGCTATCCTGCTCGCTCCAGGGTGAAGCGCCCCATCCTTGTGTTTAGGTGTGAGTGAGGTGCAGGATTACTCCTGGATGTGTGGGGATTCACTTTCCCCCCGTTTGCCCACCTCCGCGTGTCTTTGGTCAGGGTCACGTCTCCACCTCTCCCATCCCTCTGGGACTAGGTTCAGCGCCCTCTTTCCACCCACAGCGCTCAGGGTTGTAATGATGGTGAGAGCCATGGTTCTGTCCTCTCTGAACACAGCCAGCATGAGCCATTCTGCCCAAGCAGATGCCAGGGGCCCTGTTGAGCACCCTGCCAGGACATTTTCAGCTCAAACTCCTGCCCCGACAGCCCCAGAGCATGGAGTGTCCAGCCTGCACCCAGCCTCTTCCCTTGTGGGCTGGGTAACAGGTGAGGCCAGAGCATGAGTCTCAACATTAGAGTTGATTCCCTGTAAAGGAGCCTCCTTCGAAAGTAGGCAGAGGAAAACTGTCAGCTGATAGCGGTGATGGCCACGCACACAGTCACCTCCCCATCTCCATATTATGCACAAATGTTTACTCAAAGTTAAAGAACATTTTATTACAACCCTTTCCTGAACTCCAAAATGCACTTATTACTCAGTGTAGACATCACAGGTAGTGCATGCTATTCCAAGCAGAAAGCATCTCTGGTTAGGTATTTATTTGGCTTCCGTGTACTGCCCCAAAGGAACAGCTTCCCAGGAACTGCAGCAGTGCACAGTAGCTTACCTCTCCAAGAGAAGTGCTTCTCTGATGTCTCATGAGCAGTCATTTTGCAATCTATTTTATATTTTTGTCATCTGATTTAAAAACAAAGCAAACATATCATTCCTATATCTTACTAGCTAATGCCTGGAACTCGTCCATACCCTAAAAACAGCTATCAGCTTAGATAGAATTCCTCTGGGAGAGAACAGTATTTTTTGAACCAAGCCGAAGCAAAAGAATGCTGCATTTCCCCACTGGAGAGAGGGGCAGATCTGGAACTTTTCCTCTGCCTGCAGCCGTCCTGAGTGGCCCCTGCATGAAGACAGCTCCTTCTACAGTGAACTTGTCTCTAACACAGTCTTCTGTCTGCAATCTCGCCTCCTCAGACTGATGGCACTTGGGCCATCCTCTGCTGCTTTCCCAGGTGCATTAACAGGGAGCTGGGCCATAAGTGGAGCAGCTGGGATTTGAGCCAGCACCCATATGGATGTTGGAGTTGCAGGCGGCAGCCAATCTGCTGCACCGGCCCTGGGATCACTTTTTTTAAAAAACTTTTATTTTATAAATATAAATTTCTAAAGTACAACTTTTGGATTATAGAAGCTTTTTCCTCCATAACCTCCTGCCCACCCACAACCATCCCATCTCCCACTCATCCCATTCACATCAAGATTCATTTTCAATTATCTTTATACACAAACGATCAATTTAGTATATATAAAGTAAAGATTTCAACAGTTTATACCCACACAGACACACAAAATATAAAGCACTATTTGAGTACTAGTTATGCTGTTAATTCAGATAGCACAGCACATTAAGGGCAGAGATCCCACATGGGGAGTAAGTGCACAGTGAATCCTGTTGTTGATTTAACAATTGACACTCTTATTTATGGTGTCAGTAATCACCCGAGGTTCTTGTCATGAGCTACCAAGGCTATGGAAGCCTCCTGAGTTCACCAACTCTGACTGGGACAACTTTTTAAAAGTGCTCCACTCATCAGTGAGATTATGTGACACCTCTCCTTCTGTGCATGGCTTATTTCACTTGGCATAATGGATTCTAGCTCCATCCATGTTGCTGTGAATAAGACATCGTGTCTCTTTTTGGGGTTGAGGGGTGGACCACTATATGTATGTACGACATTTTCTTTGTCCATTCACCAGTCGGTGGACTCAGGTTGTTTCTGTTTGCTGGCTGTTGTGGACGGTGCTGCAGCGAGCATGGGAGTGCAGATGTGTCTTCTGTAGATGGCTCTGTGTCTCTTGGATATGCATCCATCAGTGGGCTTGCTGGACCACACAGCAATTTTAGTATTTTTTTTTAGTTTTTTTTTTTTTTTTGAGGAAACTACAGTGTCTATTTTAGTTTACATTCCTACCAACAGTTTGCAAGGGTTCCATTTTCTCTACATTCTTGCTAATGCTTACTATCTTCGGTCTTCTCGATGGTAGTTTAATTGCAGTGAGGTGATACCTTGTTGTAGGTTTAATTTGCATCTCCGTGATGATTAGTGATGTTGAGCATTTTTATCATGTGCTTATTGGTTATTTGCATATCTTCCTTTAAAGAACATCTGATTAGATCTACTGTCAATTTTTAAGCTTGGATTATTATTATTTATTTGAGCTGTCTGTGTTCCTTATGTATTCTGGTTATTAACCCCTTGTTGGATGTATAGGTTGCAAATATTTTCTCCTATTTTTAAGTTGTATCTTCACTATTGATCTCTCCCTTTGCTCTGCAGACGCTCTTTAGTTTGATGAAATCCCATTAGTCTATTTGTGCTTTAATTTCCTGTGCTTTGGGGGTCTGCTCTAAAAAATCCTTGTTCATTCCAACCAATTGCCATTATGTTTTCTCCTAGTAGTGTCAAAGTTTCAGGTTTTACATTTAAGTCTTTAATCCATTATGAGTTGATTTTTGTACATGGTGTGAGACAGAGACAGGGATGTATTTCATTTTTCTGCATATGAATATGTAATTTTCCAGTATCATTTATTAAAAATACTACCCTTTTCCCCAGTACATGTTCTTATCATGTTTGTCAAAGATAAGTTGGCTTTATATGCATGAGTTTAATTCTAGAGTCTCTATTCTCTCTTCTATTGATCTATGGTTCTATTTTATGCTAATACTATGTTTTTTTCAGATTTATTTATTTATTTGAAAGTCAGAGTTACACAGAGAGAGGAGAGGCAGAGAGAGAAAGAGAGGTCTTCCATCTGATGGTTCACTCTCCAACTGGCCGCAACGGCTAGAGCTGCACCAGGAGCTTCTTCCGGGTCTCCCATGTGGGTGCAAGGGTCCAAGGACTTGGGCCATCTTCTACTGCTTTCCCAGGGCATAGCAGAGAGCTGGATCAGAAGAAGAGCAGCTGGGTCTAGAACCAGCACCCATATGGGATGCTGGCGCTTCAGGCCAGGGTGTTAACCCACTGCACCACAGTGCCAGCACCATACTGTGGTGTTTTAATTATTGTACTTTACTAACACATTTTAAAGTCAAGTAGTTTAAGTCAGCTTTATTCTTTGTGCTCAATATTGTTTTGGTTATCTCGGGTCTTTTGAGGTTCCACACAAGTTTTAGTTGTGTTTTTTTATAGTCCTGTGCAAAATACCATTGGACTTTTGGTAGGGATTATATTGGATCTGTAAATTGCTGTACATCTGTGAACATGGAAAGTCTTCCATTTCTTTGTGTCCTGTTAAGATTGCTTTATTAATGATTTATAGCCTCTTTGGTTAAATATACTCCTAGGCCAGGGGCTGTTTGACTCTGAGTTCTACTGCAGTGGACCTGGCATTGAGATCCAAGTTCAAGAACTGGTTTGATACCCTGTCCTTCCTTCAAGTGGGAGGTGTCTCTCTCTAGGTTTTGCTGCTTGGAATTGAGGGAGGAATGAAATAGGCAACTCTCCTTCCCGCTTATTTCAACATGACTTCTCTCTCTTTCTGTCTTTTTGAAAAAAGATTTATTTACTTATTTGAAAAAGTTACAGAGGGAGAGAGACAGGGAGAGAATGATAGATAAATAGAGAGATAGAGAAAGAGATAGAGATAGAGATAGAGATAGAGATAGAGATAGAGATAGATCTTCCATCTGCTGGTTCACTCCCTAGATGGCCACAATGGCCAGAACTGGGCCAATCCAGGAGCCAGAAGCTTCATCCAGGTTTCCCACATGGGTAGCAAGGGCCCATATCATCCTCTGATGCTTGTCCTAGGTAATTAGCATAGAGCTGGATCTGAATTGGAGCAACTGGGGCACGAACTGGTGCCCACATGGAATGTCAGCATGGCAGGCAGTGGCTTTACTCACTACGCCACAATGCTGACCCTCCTCTTTGTCTTCCTAAGAGTAAAACTGCTGTATCACATAGTAATTACAGTTTTTATTTTTTGAGCAACAAACTTCTCCAGATTGGCTGTACCAATTTATACTTGCCCCTAATATAAGAGAGTTCTAATTTCTCCATATTCTGTTCAACATCTGTTGTTTTCCACTAAAAATAATTAAAACCATCCCAAAGAATGAGAAGTGGTATCTCATCGTGGTTTTTATTTACATTTTTCTAATGACTAATTATGTGGAGTATCTTTTCATATGTTACTCCATGGCCGTTCACATATCTTCTTTGCAGAAGTGTTTGTTGAAGTCCTTTGTACATTTTTTTTTTTGCATAGAGTTGTTGCATTTTTTCTTGAGTACAGGAGTATGTTATATATTTTCATTTAATATGCAATTATTTTGTGCTATTCTATGGGCTGTCTTTCAACTTTTTGATCCAATTTTGGCTACTTTGTGTTTATGGTATAAATAAGAAGCCAAGGTCAATCTTTCACATGTAGATACCCAGTTTTCCTTCTTGATGTCAACCTTCCCCATGTCCTTGACCAGTGTCAGGTCTCCACATCTCTCATCTTTCTGGGTCAGAAACATGACAATTGCTATGTGATTCAGGTCATTTTTCCCACCTACCACACTATGGTTAGTGACGGCTTTGATTGCCCATTGTTCTGATGCTCTCTGAGCATGGCCAGCCTGGCCCTACTGTACCATCTGACACCAGGGAATCTCCCAAACATACTGTCTAGGACATTCCCACTTGACTGCTGCTCATACCCCATTGTTAAGCATGGGTGGTCCAGCCTACGCCTTTCAGAGCAAGGCTGAACTGGATCAGGGTCTTGGTTGATCAGGGCACTGGGAAGGAAGTCAGTTCTTTTTTTTTTTTTTTTTTTGAAGATTTCATTTATTTATTTGAGTGGTAGAGTTACAGACAGAGAGAAGGAGAGACAGAGAGGCCTTCCATCCACTGGTTCACTCCCCAAATGGCCACAACAGCCCTAGCTAAGCTGATCTGTAGCAGAGAGCCAGAAGCTTCTTCTGGGTCTCCCACATGGGTGCAGGGGCCTAAGTGCTTGGGTCATTCTCTACCGCTTGCCCAGGCCATAGCAGAGAGCTGGATCAGAAGAGGAGCAGCTGGAACATGAACTGGTGCCCATATGAGATGCCAGCACCGCAGGTGGAGGTTTAACCTACTATGCCACTGCACCAGCCTGGGGAAGTCAGTTCTGTCATCAGGCAACAACTTTGTAAGACACCACTTCAGGGAAGCAGGAAGGGAAGTGCTGCTTCAATCAAAGGGCCTCAGTAAGGTCCAAGGAACTCAGAGCCCTGGGCTAAGAGTAGTGGGGGCCAGGGGACACCTGTGTTCAGAACCAGAAACAGATAGAGCTTGGATTCGGAGAAGTCACCAGGGACACAGAAAATACCACTAGAAATATGGTAGGAATACATAGGTGCTTGGATGTTGAGTACAGGACCCAAAGCTACCTCCCAGGCAATCACCAAGTGCAGGCAGGGTTGATGGTGCCCTCATCCCTCAGGGTGGCCAGTCAGGATGGGAGGTGACTGGCAAGAGGCTGTCCTCGGGGTGGGGGGGAGAGTTGCTTGGGATCTGAGATCTTCTACCACCAGCCAGATCATCTGCACTCCCACCTTTGCTAGGTGGGTGTCCATTCTGTGAGTCTTTTGCAGAGTCTGTAGGTCCTTAGACATTAGAGAGGCTGACATTGTCAGGCTGGGGCCCTATTCTCAGGTATCATGGGGCCATGATAAGCTGGGTCCAGTTAGTGCTCATAGCAGATCAGCCCTCTCTGGTGAACTCAAGATGGCTTCACGTTCAGTCCTATTCTGAAAAATTTCTAATCAGAAAAACTAACCACTGAATAGAAAATAGGCATGGTCTCTGGTTTGAATGGTAAGTGTATCCCAAAGGCCCACATGATAAAGGTTTGGTCCCCAGGGTGATGATATTGGGAAATGATGGAAATTATAGGAGGTAGGGCCTAGTGGGACATCCTAGGTCATTGGGGGAATGCCCTCAGAAGCAGTTCTCTCAAGAGGGTTGCATAAAAGCCCAAGTTTGGGCCCAACCACTCTCTCTGCTTCCTGCAGACCATGGGATCCCACTGGTTGAACCCTGCAAGGGACTTCTGCAAAAGCCTGCATCATAACCTTTGGACTTTCAGCCTCCGAAACTGTCAACAAATAAGTATCTACTTTGCTGTGTCAGATATTTCACTGTGATACTGAAAACCAATGATCTCATTCACTGACAAGTGTGAGCTTCCCTGTTTGAATCCTTAGAGAAGATTCCCTTGTCTAACTCAACTACAGGAGCCTCAAGAGGTGGACAGGATAAGGGGCATCAGGATCACATGCATGAGTCTCCATGGAGGGGGATGAGTCACGCCAGGCCATGACTCAGCATGGGGCACTACGGGGCAGAAGTCACTTCACCTTCCTTCTACTCCTGTGACTCCTTCCTTTCTTTCCATCTCTACCCGAAGAAGAGGGAAGTTGGAAAGCCTTGTGTGAATGACAATAATATATTCAGGCTCTATGCAGGAGAGATTTAGATGGGCAGATTGCATGACAGGCAGGAAGGGACTGAGCTCTGCTGACAAGTGCATCCCAATGATATCCAAGTCCTAATCCTTGGAGCACTGAGTATATTCTGTATTATCTGAGTAGACACAGTATAATAACAAAGGTCCTTATAACATAGGGAGGAATCATCCATAAGCCTTGGGATGCAAAGTATGCAGCTTTAGGTTATGAAAAGTAGTGAGGACCCCCCAATACTCTGGCTTTGTCCCAGTGAAACCCATTTCAGATTTCTGATCTTCAAAACTGCATGAGAAGAAATTTGTTACTTCAGGCAAGTAAGGTTGTGATAATTTGATCATGGCAGCAATACAGGGAAATGCAAGCAACAAAAAGGCAAAAGGCAGGCAGAGGGGCAGACAGGGAGAAGGGCAGGCAGTGATCAGAGATTAGGTGGACAGAGATGCAGACAGACACGAGGCACATAGCCACATCAGCAAGTTGGCAGTCAGGAGGAAAGTTGGGCAGACAGACGGCGGAGGCAGAAAGGAAGGCAGGTGGATGAAGGACAGGTGGACAGATAAAAAGTAGGAAGTGGACCATCAGGCAGGGGACAGGAACAGGTGACAGGAAGACAGGCTGCGAGGCAGGAGGCCCCCAGAGTCTCTTCTCGTCTCCACCAGGGTTAGTGGAGCTTCCTTAGATGAAGGTGGATCCCGTTGATGGACTTCAGTACAACCCGTGCTGTGGGGACGGGCACCTTTTTGGGATCCGGCAGCAGCTCGAAGCGCAGCAGGGTCAGGGCCACGGCCACCTTCAGCTCATTCATGGCAAATTGCTTCCCGATGCAGTTCCTGGGCCAGGCAGGGACAGTGAAATGAGAAGAGAGCTCAGGTTTCATTCTGGGCTGGGCAGGCATTGGTCTCTAAACCCCAGCTCAGAGCTGGCCCTCTGAAGGTCCTCCTTCTTACGGATCAGCCCCAACCCCTTTCCTCACAGGTTACACACACCTCTGTTTGCCATGGTTGGGTCACATTCTCCTGACTTGACAAGCCTACCATCCTCCCAAAGGCTGGCTCTGATCCTGCTTTGGCCTTCAGAGGGCATTAAATCTCTTGTAAGACAGGGCCAGCGTTCTAAGGAAAGAGCCTAATCACACGAATAGTTTGAAGAGTTAATAATTAGTGAGTTCCCTCCCTTCACACACGGGCTGGTTCCCCATGGGAGGTCACTGGTCCAGACCACACGGGAGAGATGGGTCACATTCACATACACTCGCTGGCTAGGGATCCTCAAGAACTGAATTCCTCAAAGGGAGTTAGAGCATCATTGGGGAAGCTCCCGGACAGGGGGTGGGTCAGGGACCCCTCCCAATGCAGTCCCAACTGCTTCCAGCTCAGTGTTCAGGCTCTTGGTGCACCCTCACTGCCACATCTACCAGCATCTGTCTCCTGGTTTCTCCTTGCTATCCTTCAATGTCCTCCCTGGGCTCCTGTTGATCTCCCTGCCTCCCTTTCTTCCACACTGAAACTAAGGCTTGGCTCAGACCCTTCCCTGCTTTCCACACCAGTGGGATAAGGTGCAAATGCTTAGATGCAACAAGCTCTCTAGGGCTGCTGCTCACCTATCACTTACTTGTCCAGCTCCACTAACTCAGCTCATGTCACTGAAGTTGCTGAGAAAGCCCTCTCTCCCTTCAGGTTCAGGCCAACAACCTCCTGTCCCATATCTCCTTGCCAGCCATCCCTCTCCTTGCTGGGTTCTCAAGGCAGCATTAGTGTGGGGAGCAACTTGGACTAGACTAAGTTACTGGAATTAAGACTTATTCTATGCATCTGCTCTCCCACAATATGGCACTGGGAGAGGAGGAAACAGCTTCTACGCAGCTGCCTCCAGTTCAACCAATAAACTGCAGGACCTGCTCCTGATTGGAGGAGAGCAGCGTACTCGGTGTGTGGGTAGCAGAGTTGGGATTGGTGGAAGAGGACTATAAAGGAGGAGAGAGACAACATGCACCAGGAACATCTAAGGGGAACATCCGGATAACATCTGAGCAGCCCCCAAGAGAGCCGGCCGGCGGTGTGCCACTCCCCCGCGGAAGTGGGGAAAGTGGCAGGGGGCACCGCCCTTCCACGGAGGTGGAAGGATCGGCAGCCAACCCGGGAAGAACCAGCAGCAAACCCGGGGAGGGCCAAGCAGACAAAAGAACAGCGTAGGGTCCTGTGTCGTTCCTCCGCGAAGAGGGGGAGCGACAATTAGTGATTGTGTTCAGGGGTGCAGTCCAGAGCCTAGGACGGTGCCAGGGGTATGCAGCATTCCATAAACTACTGAAACAGGGAATGAGTTTGTGAAGGAATAAAGAAAGGACTGATGTCTGTCTTGTGAATAGGGTTTTTCTGTACCCTTTTTACCTTAATTGTGAACTCTTGGAGACATGGATGACACTTTTCATCTTTGTGTTCCCTCAATTCCTTTTTTTTTTTTTTTTTACAGGCAGAGTGGACAGTGAGAGAGAGAGACAGAGAGAAAGGTCTTCTTTTGCCGTTGGTTCACCCTCCAATGGCCGCCGCGGCCGGCGCGCTGCGGCCGGTGCACCGCGCTGATCCGATGGCAGGAGCCAGGAGCCAGGTGCTTTTCCTGGTCTCCCATGGGGTGCAGGGCCCAAGCACCTGGGCCATCCTCCACTGCACTCCCTGGCCACAGCAGAGGGCTGGCCTGGAAGAGGGGCAACCGGGACAGAATCCGGCGCCCCGACCGGGACTAGAACCCTGTGTGCCGGCGCCGCAAGGCGGAGGATTAGCCTAATGAGCCGCGGCGCCGGCCGGTGTTCCCTCAATTCTAAGGAGTGCATGGCACACAGAGACAAGAGCACAGGATGCTTTGATTTTTGAGTGAAGTTGATTAAATTTTAAAAATGAAATGATTTATTTCAAGATGGCTGACAGTGGTGCTAGACATTCATGTCCTCCCCAGAGAAGAACCAAAACAACAAACAAATGGTTGCATTTTAAATGAATGCCCGAGGAAAAACTTTAGAACTCAGCAAAGAAGATAAGGAAAGCTACAGGGGGTGGAGAGCTGAGACTGAAGACCACAGCGAGCCCAAGGCCAGCCCCATGGCCAGGAGGCATCTTCACTGAAGAACTGGCATGCAGGGGAGCCTCAGTGGAACCCATCTCCACGGGTGCCGTACACCGGTGAGCCTGGCTGTAAGGCTGGTCCACACTTGCCAGAGGCTCGGAGCCCAGTTAGAGAGGTACCTGGAGCAAGCATGGTAGCTTTGTGTCAGAGAAGGGACTCACTGTGTCTTTCTCCCAACCCGTCTTTCTCCCAACCCCCAGAAGCCATGCAGTGGAATGTGGTTCTACCTTGAGAAAGGAGCCACTGTGGGAATCTCTAGTATCCTAGGAGCCCATCCTTGGGACCCCACAGACTTTTTTTTTTTATTAGACAGGTAGAGTTATAGACAGTGAGAGAGAGACAGAGAGAAAGGTCTTCCTTCCGTTGGTTTACCCCCCAAATAGCTGCTACAGCCAGTGCTGTGCCGATCCAAAGCCAGGACCCAGGTGCTTCCTCCCGGTCTCCCATGCGGGTGCAGGGTCCAAGCACTTGGGCCATCCTCCACTGCCTTCCCAGGCCACAGCAGAGAGCTGGACTGGAAGAGGAGCAACTGGGACTAGGATCCGGCGCCCCAACCGGGACTAAAATCCGGGGTGCCGGTGCCACAGGCGGAGGATTAGCCTAGTGAGCCACGGTGCTGGCCCCCAACAGACTTTTGATCCCAACAGTCACAAAGACTGCAGCCTTCGAACCTGTCCAGATCCAGCATTTCAGCTGTGGACCCTCACACCAGCCCATGCAGCATGAGGCACAAATGGGACATAAAAGCAGGGCACAACCTGTCCCCAGGACCCTGGATATGAGGGGCTGGTCTCCCCGGACTTGGGGCCCATGCCCCCCCCACCTCTCCTCACTGTCATCTGAGGCAATGTTTGCCACAGCTGGGCTCTGTTTGCGCTGGGCCTGCCAGCTGGCCATCTTGTGACCTTGGCCCTCTCCCTGCACTAGCAGGTCCTTGTAGGGACCCACACCACTGTAAAAAAAGACATGGAAGGTCACTATATCATGATCAAGAGATCAACTCAAGAAGAAGCCGCAATGGTTGTAAATGCATATGCTTCTAACTGTGGAACACTTGATTTTATAAACCAAATATTCTTAGATCTAAAAGAAGAGACCATATATTAGGATACAAAGTAAGTCTCTACAAACTCAACATAATTTAAATGTCATGTATTTTTTTCCAACAAGATGGACTGAAACTTGAAGTCAACAAAAGAAAGCTTAGGAATTGTAGCAGTGCCGTATCATACACCCAGTAGTGGGCTTTCCTTTATAAGTAGTCATTGTGTGCATCTTTATGTAGAACGTGTGGAATATGGACCATGGTTTAGTGATCTCCAAGTACAGAGTTTCGTGAACGGGGAATATAGACACAGATATTTAACGTAAATATACAGCGAACCTTCTGTTGGAAAAGACTAGAAAATGTGTCAGGTGACAGCCCCAAGTGGGACCCTTTCTAGAAAGGCCACTGCGACCTTCAAGTCTGTGGCCAGTCAGGGCACCCGAGGATGCTGGCAGCAAACCAAGCCATCTGGGCCTTTGGTTTGGTGTTGGAAGGGTTAGTGACTAAGCAGAAAGGTCCGTGATCTGGCTGGAGAGTGTGTGGGAAAAGGAGACATTGGAAAGTGCAACCCAGGAAGTGTAATGTACACAGAAGAGCCACACCCCCACAGCGAGCAGACCTCCAGGACACCCTGAAGTTTGGAGCACCCCGACACTGCTCTGAAACCCCCCCTTACGTGGCTCGCAGAGACACCCACACAAGGCCTCCCTCCCAGCAACGCCAACACAGGAGGGCAGGTCTGAAGATCCCACGTGGGAATGCAGGAGGTCACAGACACTGGGGATGAGCCCTGAGACTCCCCATCACCCCCCGACTCCATCAGCGCACACGGGACGCTCACCTCGATCCTCCTGAGAAGGGCAGGAAAGCGTGGCTGTGGCGAGCAGAACCCGGTGCGAAGCGGGAAGGGTCAAACACCTGCAGGGAGCAGAGGTCAAGGGCGATCCCTGAGGGCCCAGGGAACACAGTGGCAGCAGGGGGAGGAGTTGGTCTGAAGGATCAGTCCATGCCCTCCTCCCAGCGCCCTCCTACCTCTGGGTTTGGCCACACCTTCGGGTTGTGATGCAGGCCATAGATGGAGAGCATGACCGTGATGCCTGTGGGGCAGGAGGAGAGCAAGAGAAGAGACCAGTGGGGTGGGGCCCTGAACCCTGAGTAGATTTCCTCTACAGGCCTCCACATCTCAGAGAGCGAGAATGTTCATGCTACAAACCCATGGATACTGTCAGAGGCGCACCTGTATTTATTGAGATTTTTTTCTGTTTAAGCTCTGTGCAAAGCATTTCCTGCACATCATCCAATTACCAAGTATGCATCATTTATGATGACAAGGAAAGGAAGAAGCAGAGAGATTCAGAACCGAGGATGCACGACTGAATTTCCAATCTTCTTGTCTCCCAGTGAGTGCTTAGATGAGTGAGGGTGGGCAGTTCGTACCCTTGGGGAGGGAGCGTCCATCAGGGAAGGTGACAGGCTTGCTGAGGTCTCTACCAACACCTGGCACCGGTGGGTAGAGTCTCAGCGCCTCCTTGATGCACATGGTGGTGTAGGGCATCTGGTCCAGGTGCTCCCTGAAACAAAGCCCAGGCAGAGGAGGAGGCAGGGCTGGGCCCCCACGGCTTCCCCTCCCAGACAGGCAGGGCCCTCCCCCACCGCCCCCTGGGCTCTCACTCACCAGGTGATGGAGGCTCCGTCCCCCAGGAGGCCCTGGATCTCCTCGCGGCACCGGTGCTGATGCTCGGGGTGCGTGGCCAGGGCATAGAAGATCCAGGAGACGCCGCTGGCCGTGGTGTCGTGGCCCTCGAACATGAATGTGTCCACCTCGGCGCGGAGGTCCTGGTCGGACAGGCTGCTCCCGTTCTCCATCTGGGGGAGGCCACAGTGGGAGAGAGGGTGCGGGCTCTGCTCTGTCCCTGGCTCTGTGCTTCCAGGCCAAGCTCGGGCCTGCCCTGCACACACTGACCTTGGCAAAGAGGAGGACGTCCAGGAAGTCCAAGCGCCTCTTCCTCCTGACCTTCTCCAGCTCCCCCTCCTGCTGCAGCTGAACCTTCCTCTGCTGGATCACTCGGTCTGTGCCAGAGCAGTGGGTACCGGAGCAGCTGAGAGCCCCACCTGCCCCAACCCGGGTGCCCTGGAGGTCAGGGTGAGCGTGGGAGTGGGTGTGTGGGTCGGGGTGGGAGCCAGCATCCTGGGATGCGGGGCAGGCCTCCCTGCAATTGCACAGCCCAGGAGCCTCAGCTGATTGCTGCTGGGCTGGAGTCTCATTCAGTCATCGTCCGTGTGATGGGAACCCCTGCCAGCACCTGGCACCCCAGCATCTCAGCTCCTGACCCCTGCACCAGGGAGGTACCCAGCGTGTGTGTCCCAGCTCCTGCAGGTGGAGCATGTGCCTGGCTCTGCCTTATGAGTTGATGTCAGCTCCTTTGGGCTGTGCTGGTTAAGGAGGGGGACACAGGAGGAGGAGGCAGCACCTGTGTGCTCGTGGGCGAGCTGGCAGGCACGGTGGGACAAGCGGCCTTCAGGGCTCAGCCTGTAGATGGTGTCGCTCTGATGAAAGACGTTCCTCACCCGGGCAAACACCAAGTTGTTCAGGTCCCCAACAGCCTGGATGTAGGACTGGGAATTCCTGAGGGAGAGGACGTGGATGAGGTCAGAGTGGAGGGGCCTCTGATCTGCAGGCAGAGTGGGGCTCTGGGAGGAGATTCCTCCCCACACTGGGGACAGGCAGCATGGAGACACACACCACTCCTGTTTGCAGTCCTTGTGACCCTGGGGCCTCTGTAGGATGGCAGGAGAGCCAGGCTCCCACCTGTGCTGGGCGGGGCAGGGGGGGCATCAGGGATCTGCGGTGGAGGTAGGGGGAATCTGGTCTGCAGTTAGAGCTTGGTGTGGGCTAGGTCAGCGTCTTGCCTTTTGTGGAGGTGAGCATGCTAGTCCCTCCCACCCCCGGCTGGCTGGGAGGTGCGGGCACACTGATGGTGAGCCCAAGGACCCTGCTGGTGGAGGTCATCACGGACCTGCTGTCCAGCTGGACGCTGCCCTGGTAGCTGAAGGCGCACTTCATGATGGTGTCCAGGGTCATCAGGGAGACGTGTTGGAAGACCTCCAGGGAGGAGTCCTGGCTGACCAGCTGCTCCCATTTGTCCTGTAGGGAGAGTGAGCCTTGTTCTTGATTCCCACCCAAGGTCTGGGCCAGGGAGCCGAGGCTCTTTTTTTTTTTTTTATTATTTGACAGATAGAGTTAGACAGTGAGAGAGAGAGACTTAGAGAAAGGTCATCCTTCCTTTGGTTCACCCCCCAAATGGCCACTACGGCCAGAACTACGCCAATCTGAAGCCAGGAGCCAGGTGCCTCCTCTTGGTCTCCCATGCGGGTGCAGGGGTCCAAGCACTTGGGCCATCCTCCACTGCCTTCTCGGGCCAATGCAGAAAGCTGGACCAGAAGAAGACCAACTGGGACTAGAACCCGGTGCCCACATGGGATGCCGGCGCCGCAGGCAGAGGATTAACCAAGTAAGCCACAGCGCCAGCCCCTCCGAATTTACATTACATCACATTACATTAGTTTACATTAAATTTTGAAGTTTGGAATTCTGTTACAATCTTTGATTTATGAGAAACTTTTTTCTTTAATGATAAGAAGTAGAGTAACTCTTCAGTGTTTGATACCTGAGCCAGTCCAAGACCCTGGCAGTTCCATTGCTAAGGGACAGTTGTGTCAAGGCAAAAGAAACTCATGGGACATATAGTAGCACTTTTAATGGGGATATAAAGGCACTTCAATTCATTGTCTTTCATAAGATGTTTGCTGAGCATGGTTGAGTCAGACATCAGAGTTCTGATTGGAGTGTTCGTATGGCAGGGTGTGGACCTACTGTGCATTCATTTCATGGGTTCCCAAATCTATGCAGTAGCCTTGGGTCCCTGGCCAGAGCCTGGCCGAGTGACATCCCGGAGCATCTGCCCTACCAGTAAAGCTTCCACTGTGCAGGCCAGCCAACGGTAGACTATCCTGCTGTCACGAAGGATTGACCATGCCTCTAGTCCTCCGTGTTGAAGACTTGGAAAGAGGAAGCTAGGGTCCTGTGTCCCAGATGGTCCTCTTGGTACAATAAGCAATGAGTGAGTACAATATCATGTCTTTGCTCTGCTTTGGGGAACCCTGCTCTCATATTAATGGTCTAAGAGTGCTATTCCATGGGGCTGAGGGTGATGGCTGTCTGTGCACCACTTGTGTTTGATAGTGGAGCCTGTGAGTAGGTGAAGGTTGTGTGTTTGTGTGTGTGTGTGTGAGAGAGAGAGAGAGAGAGTGAGAGAGAGAGAGAGACAGACTCACCAGCATGATTTGGACGGAGTCCGCCATGAGCCCCACGTAGGGCTTCAGGATGTCGTAGTGGAAGGCTGGGGTGAGCATGCGCCGGTGCTGGAACCACGTCTGCCCGTCCAGCAGGAGCAAACCGTACCCTGGCCAGAGACGGGTATGTGTGCACATGTAGTATACTAGATGTGAGAAACCACCGAGGATAATCTGGAAAGAACTGAGCAGTGTACAGGGAGCAAAAACTCAGAAGAAAGTGGAATGTCTTGGACAAAAGGCAGGGAAGGCATGATGCTCTGCACAAGGAGGAATTTCCCTCCTGGCCTGGTACGTGAGCATGGCATAAAGACTGCAAAGAGCTGGCGCAGATCTAGGAGGGACTTAGTTAATGTCCAGCTGGGAATGTCTGGCGACAACTGAGCAGTGCTGTGGCAGGTGCTGAGTCCCAGGGGGCTCGCACCAGCCTGAGGAAGGGCTGAGGGTCTGCTTGGCAGATGACAAATGAGGCTGGCATCAGGGCGTAGCTCGTGAGAGTGGCGGCTGGCACCTTGCTCTCCGTGAGGCAGTGAGAGCTCCTGCTACCCTAGCTGGGGAAGGGACTGTTGTCCTGCATTAGGCATACATACCAATCCAGGGGGCCAAGAACTCCTAGACACTGCGAGCCTTTGGGTCTGAAAGGTAAGCAAGGGCTTTACAGGAAAATAGCTATGACCAAATGAAGCAGCTCCCATGGTAGCTGACATCCGACCAGGGGTTGCCATCACTTCTGTTGGCTGTGAGTTGGGAGTTGGTCCCAGAGCACTTTCTACTTGCTTCCCTCCCCTCTTTCAATTTTGTCTTCAGTTGAGGTTGGGTGTGTTCAGGGTGGTATGGTTGTAGACCAATTTTGTCTTCAAAGTCAATTTGGCTTGGGCAGGTAGACTCAAGGCAGCAGCAGTCAAACACCCACTGGACTGGAATGGTGAGTTAGCAAGAGCACAGGCTATATCCTCCATGCCAAAGAATAAGACAAATCTTGTGGGTTTTTTTCTACAAATAGATCATGGTTGGCCACCTCAAGACTCAGGAAAGCCAACACTAGAAGTTCCAAACTCAAGTTGGTATGGATACAAAAGTTTTTTTTCAAAACTGGGACAATTTACATGACAGGTCATCTCAATTTGCTTTTAAAAACAACAGCAACAAAAAGGACATGAGACACTGAGCAAATAATCATGGTTTTTGTAAACTGAGTCAGTGCATTGGCGTTAAGTTGGGTCGTGAGTTTGGTGCATGGTTGGTGGAAGGGGCAGATATTGGTGTTCAGATTAGCACTTTGCAGTGAGAAGGGCCCCTTTAGCTGGAGTGAGGTTTCATCCTCACCTGATCTGCCCAGCATCACCTTCATGTAGTCCGGGTCGTAGAGCTGAACTCGGACGTTGCTCCCCCACAGCCACTGTGGGAAGGCACTGGGAAATTTCTCTAGCCATTTCAGAATCTGTGGCAGCTCCTGGTTCTTCTGGAACTGTTCCCAAGTGAAAGACAAAACAATGAAAAGTTTTCTTTAACTCTAGGCCTTGGAGTGGAAGACAACCACAGGAAAACATCTCTGGTTCTACCAGTAGAAGTCAGAACTTGGAAGTTTTTATGACCTGGGAGGACTGGGATTTATATTCTTGCTTTATTTAGCTTATTTGGGACTGGCCAGACCAGGTGCCATCAACTCAATCCAGTTTTCCTGCATAGCTTGTAGGGAAAGACCTGACAACTGGAGCTTTCTATGGCGCAGAGCAGCAGAGAGCTGGAGTCAGGAGCTGAACCAGTACCCAATTCAGGCACCCTGGTACAGGATGTGGGCAGCCCCAGTGGGGTCTTAACCCCTGCTCCAAAGGCCTAACTGCCTCATCCAGGGCCTTGCTGTCTCACCAGAACTTGGCCCAAGGCCATATGTGGCCTCCCTCTTGAGCAGAGCTATGGGCTCGCCCTCCACATCACCTGCAAGCTTAAGTCAGGCACTGTGCCCACGTTGTGCAGAACCTTGGAAACTCTCAGTGCAACGGTTTCCATGGACAATTACAGAACAACTATGTCTCCTGGTAGGCAGCTGTGTAACATAATTCAGTTTACTCATAGAATAAAATAGATTACATTAAAATGTTAAGTTTATACACTAATTTTATATCACCATACTGGTTGTTATAGTTTCCACATTATTCCTGCAAACATACACATATTTATTAAGATGAAATATATGGCTACATGTAAAAAGATTAAATAGAGATTACACATTTAATGTCATTCCACATGTTAAATATATACAGATTTCTTGCACAACATCTGGATGTATAAATAATGATTTTGAGATTTGGGTTTTGTATTCTCATTTTCACTTCCCATCAAAAAGAATCTTTTGTGAGTTCCCCACAGCCTGGAGTCATTTTGCGAAAGTCTTAGATGTGGATCACAAAGTCCTTGGCTTTCTGGTTTCGACTCTCGTCCTTCCTCTCTCGTGCCCACGGCTGTGTGACCCATCTGTTCCAGCCCTGAGGCTTCTGCTGGTCTGCTGCTGCCCCGCCATGGCTGCACCTGCACACTCGCTGGCCTGTGCACACACACTTCTATCCGCCCAGCTGTTCCTCCTCTCCGCTGCTGAGCGAGGGCCTCCCCCTCAGCTTTCCACACCCAGCGCATCTGGAATCCGTGCAGGAATTTCAGTTCTTCATTTCTGCTGCTTCTATGGAACTGACATCAGCTTGCCGTGGAAGTATCCAGCCCCACACAGCTTTCTGACACCATTGTCACCAGCCCTGAGGAAACTGGCCCTGTCGTGGAACAGGTTCCTTCATCACCAAGCACTTCGGTGCCAAGCACAGGGTCAGGCACTGGATGGAGGTGTGGTCATGGATCCTCAGCTGTCTAGAGCTCACAGCCTCGTCGGACAGACAGGAAGCTTGGGAGACCACAGCACAGGACATTACTATTGGGATGGAAGGAAGTCCAAGCATCGGGGAAGCCCTGGAGAGGGGGCTGACTCAGACCCGGACACTAGAAAGCCCTTCCTCGTCGCGTGCTCATTCACTCATTGAGTCTCCATGGTTACAAACGTGAGTCAGATGATCCCACCCAGAAGGAGCTCCCAGCTAGGACGCTGCAGGGAAACACCTGAATCAAGTTGTCACTGCGCTGTCCCATGAGGAGGACAGTGCATAGGAAGGAGTCGCCCCTCCATTCCTGAAAGACCCGGGAAACTTCTTCCAGGACGTGGCTTGGGGCTGGGCATTGGCAGGTTGGACACTGGGAGGCAAGGTTATTCCAAGCCAAGAGCACAGGGTGAGCAGAGGCCCAGAGGTAAAAATGCATGGACAGGTAGGGGTGTTAATGAATAATGTGGTGTAGAACAGGGCAGTGGGACAGAAGAGGACAGGGTTATGGAGGGGAGGTTGGATGTTTCTGGTCTCCATATTTGGCCCCTTCTGCCGGTAACAAGAGAAGCAAGAGGCCTCAGTGCCTGCAAACTCCCGTCTGCCAACATCTGCCCCATGCACCGACCCTGGATGACCCGTCTCTGCGAGGCTCCTCACCTGGGTCCGCATCCCCACCCCGGGGCGGCCAGTGTGGGGGTGACCCTGTCCCTCCAGCTGCTTCTTTCCTTCCTTCCTCCGTCTGTCCAGACGCCAGTGCTGAGCGCCTCAGTGCTGGGCACTGGGGTGCAGGGAGGGGATGGTGCACTCAGCTCCAAGGAGCTCACAGTCCAGGGTGTGCGGTGACACCACTTTCACCGCAGCAGAGTGAGCCCTCCCTGTGTCCTGGATCCTTCTGAGACTCCCATCTATCATCGCTGCACCCCATGACCCCCACAGAGCAGGATTCCTTCAGACTGATGTCTGTCTCCAGACAATCAACAGATCACACACAGAGAATGGTGTTGAGTGACTGGGGTAAAGAAGATTCTAGAAGCCTGTTTTGAGAACAGCTAGGGCTGCAGGGGGTGCTCAGCCTGGAGGAGGGAGACTCAGGCAGGAGCAGTCATGCCCTCCATGTCCAGGGCTGCCAGGACCAAATGAGGAAGTCATGCATGATGGCTGCGTCATAGCAGGGTGGATTTCCTGTGAGGGAGTGAGCTCCCTGTCGCTGGGATGAACCCAGACCCAAGAGGTGAGCTCTGTGTTCCTCACAGCCTGCGTGCTCATCACACAACAGCCTGTGCCCTGTGGACCCCTGCTGAGCAGACTCTGAGAGCCCAGCCACCCCTGCCTCCCGGTCCCTGTCCCACTCCTTCCTACCTCTCTGCTGTGCCCCAGGAGCCAGTGGGAGGGTGGGCACGGGAACTGCTGGAGGGCTCTGAACAGCCACTGGCAGTGCAGGTAGAGCTGAGCTGCCTTGAGCAGCAGCAGGAGCAGGCCCAGCAGGGCCGCCACTTGGAGGAGCCCGGAGAGGCTGCCCGGGAGCCGGGTGGGGTTCAGTGCAGACACGCTCATGGTGCAGCGGCTCTGGACCTGTGGTTGACCCTACTTGTCACTGAACCCTGTTGATGACTCTTTCCTATGTCCAGAATTGTACCGCCCGTCTGGGGGCAGGGTGACAGAGGGAAGAGCTTGACTTCCGCTCTCAGAGCTGGTTAACCCTGAATGATCCGCCTGGAGAAATGGGGAGATAAATGCTGATAGTGGTAATGGCCAGGAATATACTCACTTTCCCCTCTTCATGTTACTCACAACTTCTTCTTCTTCTTCTTTTTTTTTTTTTTTTTGAGAAAGTGGAAACATTTTTATTTTATTTTATTTTTAAAAACTTTTATTTAATAAATATAGCCGGCGCCGTGGCTCAATAGGCTAATCCTCCACCTTGCGGCGCCGGCACACCGGGTTCTAGTCCCGGTCGGGGCGCCGGATTCTGTCCCGGTTGCCCCTCTTCCAGGCCAGCTCTCTGCTATGGCCAGGGAGTGCAGTGGAGGATGGCCCAGGTGCTTGGGCCCTGCACCCCATGGGAGACCAGGAAAAAGCACCTGGATCCTGGCTCCTGCCATCGGATCAGCGCGGTGTGCCGGCTGCAGCGGCGGCCATTGGAGGGTGAACCAACGGCAAGGGAAGACCTTTCTCTCTCTGTCTCTCTCTCTCACTGTCCACTCTGCCTATAAAAAAAAAAAAAAAAAACTTTTATTTAATAAATATAAATTTAGAAAGTACAACTTTTGGATTATAGCGGCTTTTCCCCCCATAACCTCCCTCCCACCTACAACCATCCCATTTCCCACTCACTGTCCCATCCATTCTTCATCAAGATTCATTTTCAATTATCTTTATATACAGAAGATCAAGTTGGTATATACTAAGTAAAGATTTCAACAGTTTGCATCCACACAGATACACAAAGTATAAAATACTATTGGAGTAGTAGTTTTACCATTAATTTGCATAGTACAACACATTAAGGACAGAGATTCTCATGGGGAGCAAGTATATAGAGACTCCTGTTGTTGATTTAACAACTGACACTTTTATTTATGACATCAGTAATCACCCGAGGCTCTTGTCATGAGCTGCCAAGGCTATGGAAGCCTCTTGAGTTCCAAAACTTTGACCTTATTTAGAGAAGGCCATAATCAAAGTGGAAGTTCTCTCTTCCCTTCAGAGAAAGGTACCTCCTTCTTGGATGGCCCGTTCTTTCTGCTGGGATCTCACTCACAGAGATTTCATTTAGGTCATTTTTTTTTTTTTTGCCAGAGTGTCTTGGCTTTCCATGCCTGAGAAACTCTCATGGGCTTTTTAGCCAGATCTGAATGCCTTAAGGGCTGATTCTGAGGCCAGAGTGCTGTTTAGGGCATCTGCCATTCTATGAGTCTGCTGTGTATCCCACTTCCCATGTTGCATTGTACTCTCCTTTTTAATTCAATCAGTAGTAGCAGACACTAGTCTTGTTTATGTGATCCCTTTGACACTTAATCCTATCATTATGATCAATTATGAACTGAAACTGCCCACTTTGAATAGTAAGATGGCATTGGTACATGCATGCCACTTTTATTGGATTGATTTGGAATTCCCTGGCACATTTATAACTCTACCATTAAGGGTAAGTCCGAGTGAGCCTGTGCCAAACTGTGCATCTTTTCCTTCTCTTATTTCCACTCTTATATTTAACAGGGATCACTTTTCAGTTAAATTTAAACACCTAAGAATAATTGTGTGTTAAAGAGTTCAACCAGGTTGGAGTTCCAAGATGGCGGAATAGGGAGGGAGTGCACTGATAGTCCAGGAAAAGATAGTTTAATAAAAGTGGAGATACTGTAGTTTCAGGGAAGAGTTAGGGAAAAAACTGCAGAGGAAACACTTCCAGAATTAGTTGGACATGGTGGACCTATGTGGAGGGCACAGGCACCCATGGCTTGGGACCCCAGCCACTAAGTCTATACACCAGCACTGGAAAGGGAGGTGAGGAGAAGCTGCAGTAGCAGGAGACACTGGTGGAAAAGCAGCAGGAAGAACCTAGAGGGAGCAAGGCTTGAAGCCCTGTGGGGGAAAGTACACCAGCCTAAATAGAGGAAAGAAAAAAAATAAAAGGGACCGATACGGACATGATTCTCTCTCTCCACTCCACTCACCTTAAAGAGGCAGGAAAGACAATAGAGCAGGTGCCATTTTGGACATATGTAACAGCTGCATCAGCTTGGGGCTGTGCCCACCCTCAGTCAAGCAGAAAAACTTGACTCTGGTGGGGAGAAATAACCGGAGATTAAGATCTAGTGAATGTGTGGAGCTTATGAACCGGGACTGTGGAAAACAACAACAACAACAACACTGAGGGTGCATGGGAGAATTCATGGTGTGGCTGAGACGTGATCTCACTGGGAAACGCCACACCTTGGCAACCTGAGGGGAGACATTGCAGGGGAATCTGAACTTACACTTAGGACTGCACAGATCCTTTGTGTGGTCCTTGGGACAGAACAGACAAATATTATACCCACTGGGGCTAGCGCTCAGGCACAGATTGCCATCAAGGAGAAGAGCTTAGCTGAGTGGAATTACTTCCTTTCTGAATAAAAAAAGAGAGAGAGAGAGAAGATTTATCATGCCAAACCTGGGTGTGTCATCTTTGGCACACCCTTAACCCTGAAGAACTGAACAGAGCTTTTTGGCCACACCCATCACAAGCCTCTAGAGATTCACCAAAAGCAGACAGTCCTCTTAATCTAGAGTCTTAGTATAATGAGAAAAGCCACCATAGCGAGAAAAAAAGAATAATAAACCAAGGAATTTCTCCACAATGCCAAACAACAAATGCAGAAACTGAGGAAACAAGAACAAGGAAAACAACATGATGCTCCCAAATGAACATGACACTCCAATACAAGATTATGAAGATGATGAAATAGAAGAAATGCAAGATATGGATTTCAAAAAATTATGATAAGAACATTTAGAAGTTACCAAAAATGAATACATGAACTACAGAAATCCATACAGGACAGGACAGAAAATCTATACCATGAAAATGAAATCTTAAGGGGGAATCAAAATGAAATGAGGAATTTAATAGAACATGAAATTGAGATATTGAAGAGAAATCAAAATGAAATGAAGAATTCAATAGAACAAATGACAAACACATTTGAGAGTCTTAAAAACAGAATCAGGGAGATAGACGAGAGAATATCAGATTTAGAAGACAGAGCACAGGAATGTATACAGTCAAGCCAAAGAAAAGAAGAGGAAATTAGAAATCTAAAAAATATTGTTGGGAATCTACAGGATACTATTAAAAAATCCAACATTCAGGTTCTAGGAGTTCCTGAAGGCATGGAGAGAAAGGATTAGAAGGCCTTTTTAGTGAGATACTTGCAGAGAACTTCCCAGGTTTGGAGAAGGACAGAGACATCCAAGTACAGGAAGCTCATAGAATCCCTAGTAAACCTGACCAAAAGAGATCCTCACCACGACAAGTTTTAATCAAACTCACCACAGTGAAACATAAAGAAAAGATTCTGAAATGTGCAAGAGAGAAATGTCAGATTACTCTCAGAGGATTTCCAATTGGACTCACAGCAGATTTCTCATCAGAAACCCTACAAGCTAGAAGGGAATGGCGAGATATAGCCCAGGTATTAAGAGAGAAAAACTGCCAGCCCAGAATATTATATCCTGCAAAGCTCTCATTTGTGAATGAAGGTGAAATAAAGACCTTTCATAGCAAAGAGAAATTGAAAGAATTTGTCAACACTTGTCCAGACCTGCAAAAGATGCTTAAAGATATGTTACACACAGAAACACAGAAACATGGCCATCAATATGAAAGAAGGTAAAGGAAGAAAACCTCCCAGTAAAATATCACAGGAAGTTCAAAGCATGTATTAGAAAATATCTTTGGCAAATGGCAGGGCAAAATGACTACTTATCAATATTCACATTGAACATTAATGGCCTATCCAGTCAAAAGACACAGATTGGCTGATTAGGTTAAGGAAAAAACCCATCTATTTGCTGCTTACAAGAAACACATCCTTCCAACAAAGATGCATACAGACTGAAAGTGAAAGGTTGGAAAAAGATATTCCATGCCAACAGAAATGAAAAAAGAGCGGGCGTAGCCATCTTAATATCGGACAACATAAACTTTAACACAAAAACTGTTAAGAGAGACAAAGAGGGGTACTATATAATGATTAAGGGATCAATTCAACAGCAAGATGTAACTATTATAAACGTATATGCACCTAATTACAGGGCACCGGTTTATTTAAAAGATATGTTAAGAGACTTAAAGGGAGACTTAAACTCCAATACGATAGTATTGGGGGACTTCAATACTCCACATTCAGAAACAGACAGATCAACAGGACAGAAGATCAACAAGGAAACAGTAGATTTAAATGACACTATAGCCCAAATGGATCTAACAGATATCTACAGAAATTTTCATCCTACACATAAAGAATTTACATTCTTCTCAGCAGTACATGGAACCTTCTCTAGGATTGACCACATACTAGGCCATAAAGCAAGTCTCAGCAAATTCAAAAAAATTGAGATCATACCATGCATCTTCTCAGACCACAATGGAATGAAGTTGGAAATTAGCAACTCAGGAGTCCCTAGAGCATTTGCATACACATGGAAACTGAACAACATGCTCCTGAATGAACACTGGGTCATAGAAGAAATCAAAAGAGAAATCAAAAATTTTCTGGAAGTAAATGAGGATAACAGCACAACATACCAAAACTTATGGGATACAGCAAAAGCAGTGTTGAGAGGAAAGTTTATAGCAATATATGCCTACATCAAGAAATTGGAAAGGCACCAAATAAATGAGCTTTCAATTCATCTCAAGAATCTAGAAAATCTGCAGCAAACCAGACCCAAATCTAATAGGAGAAGAGAAATAATTAAACTCAGAGAAGAAATCAACAGGATTGAATCCACAAAAAATCAGCCAAGCGAAGAGCTGGTTTTTTGAAAAAATAAACAAAATTGACACCCCATTGGCCCAACTAACTAAAAAAAGAAAAG